ATCCCACTGGAAAATGAACTAAATAAAAGAAAAAGCCCTGAGCCAATTTGTTACCTAGTTCAATAAATCAATATAGTATCTGGCTACCATACGTAAAGGTAGATTTGGAAGGAATATCTAGAACTGGGTACTGCTGATGAGAGCAGAAAGAGTCCCCTTTTCCAGGCCTGATCTGCTAAAAAGGATGATATCATTTTTCCTGAGATCTAGTTACAGGAGGGTAGAAGGAGAATCCAGGATGCGGGTCATGCCAAAAATGGCTGGACACATCAGAACTTGTCTGCATGTGGGTGGAGAATGAGCCAGAGAGACCTGGCTCTCAAACTTGGCATCACCATTTATTAACAGCATGACCTGGGACAAATTATTTAACCTCTCTGAATCTTTTTTCCTTGTCTATAAAACATGAGTAATAAATACCAACAAAACTGTTAAGAAGACTAAAGGAAATAACTAATGAAAAATGCTTGACAAAGAGTAGGTACTTTCTACTAAGACCCTTCTGCAGTAAACTTCCCTTCCCACCTAAACAGGAGCATGGGATGAGCCAGAAAAGAAAATCATTAAAAGTGAACTGTTCAACAGCTTCTTTATCCAATCATCTGTTGATGGACATTTAGGCTGTTTCCACGTCTTGGCTATCGTAAATAGTGCTGCTACAAACATTGGAGTGCAGGTGTCATTTTGAAGTAGGGTTCCTTCTGGATATATGCCCAGGAGTGGGATTCCTGGGTCATATGGTAAGTCTATTTATTCCTAGTCTTTTGAGGAATCTCCATACTGTTTTCCACAGTGGCTGCACCAAACTACATTCCCACCAGCAGTGTAGGAGGGTTCCCTTTTCTCCAAAGCCTCTTCAGCATTCATCATTTGTTCGAGGGGGGAGGGTATAGCTCAGCAGTAGACTACACGCCTAGCACGCACAAGGTCCTGGGTTCAATGCCCAGGACCTCCATTAAAAAAATAAAATAAACCTAATTACCTCCCCCTGCCCCAAAATATTTTTAAAAATGTTTAAATGTTTTTAAAGTGAACTGTTTGATGACTTTCATTTTTATTGTTGTTGGTCAAGTAGTTTACATTATAAAAGGTATGCTGTCCACTTTCATTCCTTCAACAAATATTTATGGACAACCTCACTTTAAGAATGTCAACCTACCCTGTGAAATGGTCTTAAACAACATCAATAAAAGGCCAACCCACCAAACATTCAATAAGACAGAGTACACTGAGCTTGGTTTGTCCTGAGCAAAGATGTCATTGGCCTCTGACCTAAACAAGGCCAATGTCATCAATTTTACAAGTGGCATGAGAGCTGGTTCACATGGTCTCAGGCTATAGAGCACCAGGGTCACAGCCTGTCACCTCAGCCATCCTCACACACAGAAGAAGCCACTAGTCAGCAGCAGCATCTTTGAAGGATAGCTAACATCCTGTTGTTTTTGGCTGTTTTTCTCCAACTGTTCAAAACAAAAAAAGCTGTTCTCATAGCCAGTTATCTCACAGTGCCAATTTCCTAAGCATATTTAAAAGGTTGCTGTTTAAGCATATATTTCACATGGTACCACATTTTCACAATCTTAAAAGCAGTAAAAATTAGATTGTCAAAAATCTATTTTATTGAAGAGGCATCAAAAATTCTATTGATCAAGAGTGCTGTGATCAAGATGACTTGATTGCTGAAACCCATCTTCTGACACCTTTTCTCCAAGCTGAGTCTCTTTCATCTGAGTTCTCTCACTTACTAGCTCGAGAACCTGGAGCAGGAGTCTTAATTTCTCAGGGTCTCAATTTCTTTATACAAACTAATTATTCTCTGAGGTCCTTTCCAGACATACAAATCAATGGAAAAGCAGTAAATGGCTAAGCTTCTGATAGTTTGTGAAGGTTCCTAAGTCTACATTTAAATGCTACTAATACAGTGCAGGTATTTGTATATATCATTCTATGGGAAATTTGGTTTGAGAGGAACAGACTCATAATCTATACCTTGCACACAGTGGGAACTGAAAAATACTTAAACGTATAAACAAGTGAATGGGAATATTGAAGGTATCTGGAAACAGAGCTGGACACTACAGGTGATAGGGTGGGAAAGAAATCATTGGCCAGGCCAGAAACACTGAGATACTAATGGAACACTCCTGGCAAAGATCCGCATGACGTGGAAGAGCAGAAACAACAACCAAAGGAATACAGTGAACCCCATCACCGGACTATTGGCTTCCTCTAAAACACCAATGCTCCTTAATTCAAGCCAAATTCTTCTGGGAAGCTCTCAATTCCTGTTTACTCTACAACAAATGAAAAAGAAAAGAAAAAACCCAGTTATTCCTTGGAACTTAAACCCCAGAGGAGGTTGGGAACCAGTGGGAGGCAGAGAGATTCACACAAATATACAAACGTACACAAAATCAGTTCTGATGGGGGGAGGTTAATGAAGCACACGAAATCCCAGGGCTGACAGGAAGTGGAATTAGAGCCACAAAAGCCAAGAAGATAATCAACAGCTTAAAAAACTCCAGATGCACACAAGCAGGGAGGGGGAAAGGAGACCCATGGCTGATGAAACAGTCCTAGGGGGTATTTCAGTGAGTCAGAGAAAGTCACTGCTGATTTCATGTCAGAACTTCTAATGCCATTAATAGGTCAAGAAATTCTTAGACTTCCAAAAGGCAATCAGGTAATCAAACAAAGTAGAAAAGGAAACATTCAGAAGAGCTTGTGATGATTCCTAGAACAAAGACTTTTACACTAAGAGCTACTAGAAATTTACCCTCATAGAAGGCCCAAGTATATATGGAAGAAACTGTTTTTTAATCTAATAAGTTTTTTGAAATTGGAGTTACATTTCCCAGGCCCCCTCCTCAAGCAGTCTGCAGTAATTCTAAGAGCTCTAGGCCCTTTACCAAACTAGATCTACTGGGAAGCCTACTGTCAGGCCACCAAAAGGCAATTAAAGCAAGTACCAATCATTTATTCAAAAAAACATTTCCTGGATGTCCTCCAATAGCAGAAAATGCTGTTATACATACAAGGAGCAAACACGAGGGAGACTTGTTGTCCTCAAGGAGCTTCCAGTCCAGGTGGGGGAGACTGAAACATAAATGGGCACCAGGTGACATGCAGGTGCCACTGCAGACTATGAACAGAGTGCTGGAGGTGAGGGAGGCTAACTCTGACTGGAAGACTTCGGGAACACTTTACTAAAGAAATGATACTTGACCTCATCTTGAAAAGACGCCAGTAATCTTTTAGGTAAAGTAACATGACGAAGGTATTTCAGACACAGGGTAAAGCAGGCACACAGGCAAAGGAATAGGAAAGGACTTGGAAGTCCAGGGAGATGGCAGAAGGTTTGGTTTGGTAGAAACAGGGTGAGGGGGGAAGGGGAGACACAGTGACTATAAGAATTCAGGAAGATAAGCTCAGTGATTACAGGTAAGAAAAGAATACAACGGAATAAGTATAGAACAGCAAAAGACAGGAGGCGCAACCGGGCACTTTGTTAGGCAAGGATTCCTGGAGGAGGCATGTCAAGCTGAGTCTTACAATTCAGACTGTGCAAGGAATGTGCAAGGCAGACAGGAGGAAAGTTTTCTAGCTGGACAGCAGAACTCATCCATGTACAAAGGGATGGAGTCCTCAGCAGTACTGCTGGATTCTAAGGTATAAGAGGGGAAATGGAATTCTACAAAAATCAGCTGGGTCAGATCCTTAGAAACTTTTAAGTCATATCAAGTTGAGCCTAGGAAGTGATTTAAGGGTTTTAGAAGACATGAATATATCTGCAATTTAAAAAGATATAGATACTATGACCTCTTCTTTTCCTATATAATCTTAGGTCCTGGTTTATCCACCATCATCTATTTAGAGTCCCAACACTTCCCTTTGTTTAGTGTCCCTCAAGTGCACACTCTTATGATAATCTCTTAAAGAGATCAAAAATTATAATGTCTAATTATAAAAAATTTAAAAAGGTAATTTTTATGGAGTACAAATTAAGGCCCAGACATGTGCCAAGTGCTTTGCATCTATCATCTCATTTGATCTTCAAGGTACTCTCAGAAGGTAGGTGCCATTTTATAGCTGAGGAAACAGGGGTAGAGTAGAAAACTAGTAAGGGGTACAGTGGGTTTCAAACGAAGTCTGTCAAGCTCTAAAGCCCATGTTCTTCACTTCCCTGTTCGCCTGCCCCCTAAGCAAGCTGTGACTCTCATGTCCTTACTTCTGTATTCCTGTATTCTGTAATTGTCCCCCATCAACGACCCTACCGTGTATGTTTTACTAGCACAGCCTAACACCTGCTGAAAGCCTATGTGACTTCACGGACACTCATACTGGCAGTCATGAAAAGGCTCATATCCACACAGAGAGCAAACGTGCACGGGTACCCTCGGTGCTACAGTCACAGCTAGCGGGTCACTGGGCAACAGGCTTCCCCGTCCAGTATACTCGTGACCCTATTTCTTACTCCTTCTCTGTGCAATCAGGCAGTTAGGGGTGGGAGAGAAGAGGAGAGGAGGAGGAAGAAGAAGGGAAAAAAGAAGGAGGGGGGTGAGGAACCCACTAGAAAGAAGACTAAAACAAAAAGGAGGAGTCATTGGAAAATGGGAGAAAGCACATACTGGTACCAGCCAGAGCGTCTTGGAACAGTTCCCAGTCTGGCTGCCAAAGAGCTCTGGAATATATTTGTTAGAGCTGGATTCCTGTACAGTCCGTTGCAGACTTTTTCTGATTGCACTCTGACAAAGAGACCCACACTTTAGTTCCAATCCCTGCTTCCCACACAGAAAGCTAGTTAGTCCTCAGGGGACCTCCAGCTAAGCTCATCACTGGCCTCTGAGTAGGATCTGCATATGTTACACGAGCTTAGAAATAAGAGTCCACCACGTACATTTCACTCCTGCAGAATCACTAAGTCTCTCTACCCCAGGATCCCATCCCAACTTCCCAAGCCCCTTTCTACAAAATGTGTTAAGCTTCCTGAGGCTCCTTACCAAAACAACTGCTGCGATGAGGAACAAAGGTTTTACAGGCTGTGGCAATGGCTAGTTCAGCAGAGATTATAGTCTTAATGATCAGGTCTTCTACATGGGCCATCAACGCTACAAAAGGAGAAAATAAAAACACTATCATGCATGGATTAGGACTAGATTCCAGGACACAATATAACTATAAAAGCACATGTGCTCATTTAAAAAAGTCTCCATGTGGCAGTCTTGTGAATGGGTCCTCCAGGAGAAAGCATGAGGTAGAGTCAAGAATGGAGGTGCTGGGGGATGGACTCAAGAGTCCTCCCTATGACAAAACACAGACACAGAATGGAAAAGGATGCTTGCCCCCTTCTCACTCCTCTCACCCTTCCCTTTGTGGACTGAGATAGGCCTTTGGGCATGCTGTTTCCCACTCTGCTCAAGGCTCAGCAATAGTGTCCATCCTGATTCCAAGCCCTGTACTCAAACTTGATCCTGTCCATTCTCCAATTCAGCAACATGAATGAGAGAGATTGCCTTAGAAAAATGTGAACTTGGGGCCAATATGGAGACAGACAATTTGTTATGCGAAAAGGTAACAGTATTTTAGTCAGCAGTTCATCATTCAAGAAGGATAAACTCACTAAAGATTAAAGGGGAAAGTTCTGTCTTCCAAACTAGAAACAAGAAAAGGGATTTGGGGAGCCATGGTAAGCTTGTTGTTCTCCATATTCTTAAGGGCAGGACAAATTAATGCCAAGAACAATGATCCCTTTAGACATCTCAGTAACACTATTAGAATTGGGAAGAATGACACCCGGTAAAAGGCAAAAGTGGTAAAGGTACACAAAGAAGAGAAGTCAAAAAGGGAAAAGGCCTGGTACTCACCAGTTGTATCTCTGCCTTCCTGTTTCAGATACCTAAGCATAGCACTCATGCTCCATTTGTTCCCATAATCCTCCACTTCTGGATCATCACAACTAAAACAAACCAATGGATCAAGGTCACATATGCAACTAGGGCTGACCGTAGAAACAAGATTTTTTACAAATAGCCTTCTTTCCTTATAAGTCTTTAGAAAAATAATCCCTTTGCTGACTTTCACTCACTCACTTTTTCTTGGTCTTTTCTGTCATATATGCTTTTGTACCAGTTTCTTCCATTGAAATGACAATGCATATAGCTTGCCTTACTGAGGAGAGTAGGGCAAAAAAAGGCAAATTCTTCCTTAACCAAATAATTATGCATTGTGAAAGAGTAGAAGGAATTTTTGAAAGAAGGTAACAGATTTAAGAATGGTTACAATAAATTGACTGAAATGTTTGGGGACACTAACCTTGCCTTTGAGGTACATGTCACATGAGCCCACAAAACAACCTCTAATGCCATGTTTAGACCAGAAGTGAGTCTGGATGGGTTAGTGAGCTAATCTAGTGTAGCATTTTCATGAGCTAACTCTGCACAGAACTGCTCTGGCATCTGAAGCAAGCTCCCTACTGCCTAGTGATAGACGCAGCTTTTTGGGTACCTCCTAAGGTATCACCCAAGGCAGGACTCACTGGAGCCACTACAGAAGTGATGAAGTACAACACCGTTATGGCAGCAAAGTGGCAAATGGGGCAGATTCCCACGACTGTTGGAAGGACCTTGCAATCTGGAACTTGTGCTTTGCAGCCACCCCCTTATTCCCTACCACTATCCTGCCACCCACCAGGTGCATCTTCGCTCATGTTCCAGAGTGAAGGTTACTATACCTCCAACCAACTCCAAACACCAATCACAGGACACTCAATGAAATCTATACAGCTTCGGCAGCTATGCCATCACTTCCAGATTCCTTTCTTTCTTTCTTTCCTTGGCACTTCTAGGCACCTATTTTTAGTCTGAGTAGAAAGTGACTGTTTGGGTTTCTTTTTTATTTTTCCATTTTCTGGCAAAATTATCAGGATGAAAGAAAACAGAACAGAAAGAATATTTCCACACAGCTGGGTTGGTACTCCCTTCCACTGAATCCTTTTCTGAGATGGCCTCATTTCTTTCTTTAATTTATTCCTAACTACCCCCCCACCCCGATCATACAAGTATTTCTTTTAGAATAATTTAGGAAATACATAAAAGCACAGAGAAGCAGACAGACATCACCCACCCATTAATCCTATCCATTATAGTTAAGCACTGTTAACATTTTAGTATATATCTTTCTAGCTTTCTTCCCCCACTACCTACCCCCTCAGGGGAGAAAAATAGCTTTAGTTATCTTACATATTTAAAAAAGAAATTAAATTGCATGTACTGTCTGGTAACCTGCTTCTTCCACCTGACTATGTACCGTGATGAACATTCTTGTCTCTGATTTTGTGTGCATATCCTTTGTTATTTCTTAAGGTGAAGTTCCTAGAAATGATGGGATTGCTGGGTCAAAGGGTTTGAGTATTTTTGAAGCTTTTGATACATTCTGCCAAATGACCTAATTTCTTGACTTCTAAAAAGTTCCATATGCCTATAAAATTCCCACCCCTGAGTCAAGTGAGGGAAGACAATGAGGAAGATGAAACTTGGGAAGGAAGGCACATTTTGGTGGAGAAAGGCGACGCTGTAACTGGGCAAGCAACAGAGAAGTAGCAGCAGATATGCCTTGAAACTACTTTAAATGACTCTGACAGCTTTCGCTAAGTTACATGGATATAAACGTAAAGTTTTCCTCCAGTGCAACATGGTGACTTTCCACTTCTACAATGCCTGCATCTGAAACTGACTTCTCTGCTCTTGGCTCAGGCACAGCCGGTACCTGACATAGTCTCCGCTCTTCTTATTCACACTGTAATTTGTCAGGTGCATGAACTGGTTCCGAATGTTCTTGGCTCCTTGGTCATAGCGCACGGTTGCAAACCTGACAGAAAGGACACAGATTAAATGTCAGAAGCAGGGTTTCAAGGAAATACAGGATCAATGAGATATTAATGGGGGGGGGTGACACCCTCCTCGAATACTGAGTGCTTACTAACTGCCAACTCCCTAAGTGTTTCATGTGTAATATCACATTTAATTCAATCCTTAAAGCAATTCTCTGAAGTGGGTAGGATTATATCTATATATGTATTAAAAATAGATATGAAAATTAAAATATGAGCTAGAAGATTAAGTAACTAGCCCCAAATCACACTGACTCCAAAACCCATGTTCTTAACCATGAGATGCCACTTCTCTGATATAGAAGCAGAACCTTAGACTGACAGGAAGGATGAAAAATGAAAACAGTTATTCACAATCAGGGAAATTGTATATAGAATGCCCTGGATGATGGGGCATTAGCTGGTCCAGAAACACCTTGAGTGCCTATACAATGCCTGGTACTAGAGTACTCTATGGAAAATATTAAGCAAAAAGAAAAAAAGCAAAACGATATACTGACTTAGAACTCACATCCATGGAAAAAACAGAACTGATCTACAAAATAAAGAAAACAAGAATGGCAGCATTAATAGCATACAAAGCCTAGGTCTTCAGAGCAACATAAATAGGCGCATAGTGAGATTAATTCTTGAACTTGGAATGAAGGCAAAAGACAGAAGGATTAAACATGGAGCCCACAGAAAACAGGGCAGCAATTTGATATCCTGGACTATTGCCAAACGAAGACCAAAGTATAAAATATATGTGCCTCTGAAGGAAGTAGCTAAGAAAAGAGAAAACTTTCCAGTGATGCTCAACATCAACAAAGGACACTCGAGTCGAATGGTCATGGTAAATATCAAGCCCTGTTTACATACCACTATACCCATATCACCCTGCACTAAAGTGGTTTTCCCCAGAGTCACATCCAAGTGTGCGAAAAAAAATCCTGGAAGGCCACAAGTTTATTTTCCTATGATTTACAAATTATTTACATGTGCTTACTCAGACTATGAGGTCAAAATGAATTTTTACCACATTAAAGGGCAGCATTTAAAATTTTCCCTCTTCTCTATTTCTTCTCACTCACCCACTATCTCTGCTCCCTAACTCCCTGCACTAGAAATATACAAAAGCCGAAGAAAGAGAAGCAGAAAAAAGAAAAAAACAAACAAACAAAAAAATCCCCAAACTAAAATAAACAAACATGAGGCCAGGAAGAAGGATGTGGACACAGAGAAAATGTTGACCAGGCATGTGTGGCTAAGGGACAAGAGTTTGATAAGCATTACCATGCATGAGAAGGATCTCAGATTTTCCAGAAACTTGCAGCAGTTATCACTTAACTTCAGCCATGTCACTCCACGGAGAGCAAACCTTACCTATATATCCCAATCTTCCTTCTTCTGAGGTTCTCCAATCAAGCGGGAAATAGTCATTCTCTAAATTCTTGTGAAATGCAAAGGGGGCCCACACAGGCCCCACAGAGGCTGCCTGCCTCCACCAGACATTACCTCACGGTGTCATACCCCCTGCCATCTCCCCCCAAAATTATGATTTAGAGGGAGGGAAAAGGTTCTGCTTCAGAGAAAGAGGTTTTTCATCTCTTCCACATCCGAGTACCTGATCTAATTTGGTCAGTGACATGAAAAGACTGGCACAGGCCTGGCAGGTCACTGGGAACTGGTACCCAGCACATCTGTCAGTCCTATACTCCCTTTCTCAATAGGACCTCATCCCTGAAAAATAAGTTTCCTTCTTCCTAATCTCCCTTATTGCACGGGCAAAATTCCAAAACTCAGGAAGGACAAGATTATTAATGTTACAGTTCCACAGAACATAAGCAGCAAGAAGTAAGAATTAGAGAAAACAAAAACAAGAAAAACTTAAGCTCACTGGAAAAGTTACCCCAAAGGGCAAAAGTGCTATCTTCTTTACTTCAGTCAGCCCAAGGAGGAGCGTAGAAGACCACTGAGAGGAAAAGCAGGTGTATATGCTCCTCCTTCCTCTTAACCCAGGGAGATCTTCCAGTTCTCACTAAAAACTGCAATAAACAGACCATATTCATCTCTGGTACCCATTTTCCAACATTTTCTTCTCATTGTCTCGATCAAAGATCCCATTAGTCTCAGGTGTGACCTACTAATCAAGTTCTGATTACTCACAAAGGTTTTTTGTTTGTTTTTTTTTTTAATTTGAATTATTTGGCCAACATTTAAAGTTCAGACCCAAAAAGGAAAAAAAGAGAAAAAAAAGAACAAACAAAATTCAGACCTTTCTTCCTGAAGCCCAGTGGCAGTCAGCCACGTGACGAAGATGGCAGACGGGATGGTAAGGCAGCTGAGGGGCAGCACAAGGAGGCTATTCAAGCAGGATGGGGGCCCCATATGGGTCAAAGTTCACACAAGAGGGCATCTGAATGGAGTGGGATCAGGGAGGGGAGGCTGCATGTGAGTGAACTGAGCAAATAAATAAATACGCTGAAGATAATGGAGGTCCGATTTCTCACTATTGGAGAAAAGAGACAAAAAATATGGAAAGGGAAAAGGCTGGAATGAACCCTGTAGTTTTGAGCTAGAATTGGAGGTTTCAGTATGAACTCCTGATTTTCAACAGAGAGATACAGAAAGAAGCATAGATGTAAATGTGTATATACGTGTACCTGTATGTATATCCATACACATATTTCCATTGTGAGGACCTGAGAGCAGAGACACCCCAGAAGAATGAGCATATCTAGCACCTGGGTCTTGATTTCTAAATGCTATTCTCCATTAAAAGCAACCACTGCTCCACGGAGAAAATCGCTGATTCAGCGCTGAGGCAGAGAAAGAAGACAACAAGCCTGAACTATCTTGTGCTCAAAGAATGAGGGGACATGTTAAAAGGACACAAAAGTCAGCTTAAAGGAGCTCCCATTGGACGAATCTGGGATAATTTGAGCATCAAAATAAATTATGACAGTAAAGGATTATAACCCATTAAATAACATAGGAATCCTTCAGTCCACATTGGTGTACATAAATAAACAAATAAATGAATGGATGGAGAGAAAACTCTTCCTGGGAGTAAAATGTCAAACAGTAAAAGTAAAAGGAATGACAGGATTACAAAATCCTCATTCGACAACCATCACAGTAACAGTTCATCCAGGCAAGAAACATCAATGGATATTAAAATTGTTGGGTGAAAATGAAATGAGGAATGAGATTTTACATGGTCTCGAAGTATCTCTCCATAGTATATTTATGAATTACAGAGGGGAAAACAAAGTAACTTTACAGTGGAGAAATCTGGCAGACTGTCTTAGTCGAGTGGTCAATACCACTAAATAGTTATCATGTGCCATCAAATGCAATGCAGGAAGAACCCAGTATCACTTCTGTGACCTTCTGGCTAAAAATACATAAACTGAGTCTAATTATGAAAAAATATCTGACAAACTCAAATTAAGGGCCACAAAATGACTGGCCTAAATCTTCAAAATTGCTGCAGTGATGAAAGTCAATGAAAGACTGAGCAAATGTTTCAAAGCAAAGGAGACTAAAGAGACCCAACAACTAAATACATGACCCTAGGTTTGGAGCCTTCTGTTCTAAAGAACATTACTTCTTAGGGCAACCAAAGAGTTGAAGATAAGTTTCTCTTTATAGAAGTATTTACACTAATGATTGAAGAAAAAAATGACAGAACTAGTATATTGCCTTCCGTAACCTCTAATGAATTAATGCATCTAATTAGTGGTTTTCAATTGCTATTATAACGAGACAGGAAATTGGAAATTATGTATCTTCTATTGGCAGAATACATCACCACCAATAAAATAGTCTGAGAAAACACCAAACCTGAGTATGACAATTACCAATGTACATGAAATAGAACAACAGAGCATGTTAGCATTATGGAGATGAACTCCACAACACAGTCTGTAACAGATTCTTCAGGAAAAATGATTGGATTCTATAACAACAATAACAACAACAACAAAAAAGCAAAAACAAAGAGAGATGGAGGGTGAATCTATAAATTAGAAAACACTTAAAAAACATGTTAACCAATCTGCATGGATCTTGTTTACATCCCAATTCAATATGAACAAAAAGTGAAAATTAAAAAACAAACATTATTAGAACAGTTAGCAAATCTGAATGTGATCTCTAGATGAAAGGTAAAAGGCAGTTCTTCTTACCATTTTTACAGCTTTTCTGTAACTTTGAAATGGTTTCAAAATTAAAAGCCTAAAAACAAGTGCCCTTTAAAATCTAGATTTTTCAGCCTCCCTTAAAAAACCAGAAGATCTGGCAACACCACCTGCCTCAGTCCATTCAGGCTGCTGTAACAAAATATCACCTACTATGCAGCTTATAAACAACAGAAATTTATGCCTCATAGTTCTGGAGGCTGGAAGTCCAACATCAAGAATCAAGCAGACAGACAGGACCTTCCTGCTGTGTCCTAATGGAGTGGAGGGGTGAGGAATCCCTCTGGGCCCTCTTTTATAAAAGGGCACTAATCACATTCAAGAGGGTGCCACCCTCATGACCTAATCACCTCCCAAAGTTCCCACCTCCTAGTCTCATCACCTTTGGGGTTGGGATTTCAACATATGAATTGGGGGGGACACATTCAGATCACAGCACTACCACACATCAGTGACTTGCTGCTTCTGAATAGTAAATGCCCTTTAGGTAGGACATGTGATCTCTGGTTCTCCAGTCTCCACCTGGACAATTTCTTTAGTGAATGTTCTTGTGAGCATTTAAGTTTGTGACTCTTGATTTAGATCTTCACACACCAAATTTCATCCTATTTAGGTCTGAAAGCTTCAACAATTTCTTTATTAGAAACAACTTAAAAGAGGTAATTCTCTACTAGGTCGCCCAGGACCAAGTTTGCAGTTACTTCTCCTAACACATGCTGAAATTTATTGATGAATTGAGTCTTGACACTCCTCTTAATGAAATAACGATTTAGGAAAAGCTCTCATGAAAGAATTTCATCACTTTGATCTTTAAGCCAAAAGGAAAGAAGGAAGGAAGGAAGGGAGGGATAAAAGGAGGGAGGGAGGAAGAGAAGGGGGCTCTACTTTCTTTGTCAAATCTAAAACCCTGGGTATCAGTTCACAACCTACTGATGAATAGAGAACTATATCCCCATTTCTTCTTTTGCCACATTGAAACATATATGAATTATCTTTATTCTGGCAATAAATTCTTAAATCAAAAGCTGCATTTCCTTTTTGCTTTCTAATGGTTCTCACTGAGAATCAAGACAATGGAATATCTGTCTAAAACTCTTGAGTGTCTATGTGAAGGAAGGCTCTCGATGTTAGACATAGAGTAGGCACCTGATAAGCATTAACTGAAATTACACCTGCACTGCTTGTTCAGAACTTTACCAATATGGAACTCAGCCGGGAAGGAAAGTGCCAACTTAGTGGGATCTTTTCAACTCTCTTCCCCCATTTAAAAATGACTTTGTTCTCCTGAGAATCTCCGTCAGAGTCATAGAGAGTCTAGCTGTAGGACAGTCAAACTGCACTCCACACCTCACTTTGATAGCTACATATTCCAACAAACATTCACTACAAACGTACAAAGTAAGGGGAGGCCAGCTCTGAGGAGACCCTGGCTGTGGCCCATGAGTTATCTTTCAGCAGGTGTAGCCACTCAGAGCCAAAAAGGCCTGGAGGATGAAGAGACAGCACCTCAGGCAGCCTTGCCAGGAGCCACTGGGTTTCATCCTGGCCTGACCCAGAAAAATCTCATGGAAGAGAACAAGAGGCCCAAGAGCTCTCTGATCTGCTGTCAGCCAGCTGCGGCCGGGAGACTGCCAAAGTGCTGCAGTGACTGGGCAGCGCCCCACGGGGCCGTCTGGGAGGGGATTACCAGCCTGATCCCCTGGTCTTTTGAGCCAGAAATGACTCAAACTTCACAAACAGCCAGGGCCTGCCAGGGAGGGTGACAATGAGCACTGGAGAGGGTTTTCTCCCCCTTCTTGGTGTCTCTTCCCCCTCTTGCTGCTGTGGCAGATTCTGGACAGTGTGCAGCCTGTGAGGTAATCTGAATTCCTTGGCAACCGGCAAGTACCTGAATTCTTTCAAAACCACAGGAATCCAGCAGAGAAAAGGTAAATATCCCTGCGGAGCCAGTGTTAATTAGCAAGGAAGGCTACTGAAGAAGGAACTGGGGGTGGGGAGGAAGGGAGAGGCATTACAAATGCTTTGGGATCTTTTCTGAATTTCCACTGCATAATACGGCTGAGGCAGAAGAGAGGCAGTCCCGACCGGAGCCTTCTCACTGTCCCCTCCTCCCACCTCCACCACGTGGGCGGAGCTCCCCGGGCCAGGGGACCAGCACTTTCATCTCCCCCAGGTTGCTAGTGCTACCTATCTTTGTGTCTCTGACAACACATTTGGTTTTCAACTCAATTTTGTTTAATTTTTTTCAACTTTTTATTTTTCCTGTTTCAGTGAAAATTTGGCTATTCGCTTTGTCTCAAAAAGGGCCTCATCAAATCATTTAGACCACATACTGGAGCCACCTAAAACTGTAAAATCCAGGACAAAGTCTTTTTGGATTCCACCTCTGACAGGAAAAAGAACCTACACCATTTTGGTAGAGAACAGCACCCCTTTCTGGAAACTTGAGTGCCCCCTGCTGGCGCAAAACAGCAACGCACTCGTGAAACAGAAGTAAGGAAGGGGCAAGATGCTGGACTCAAATACCACTAAGACAATTTTTTAAAACGTATCAACATGTTGCCCACAAGAAAATAATGAGACTTTTTCTACTTCCTATGTTAATAAAACAACAAGAAAAAAATGAAATTATTAGTTTAGAAAGAAACTAGGCAGGGCCTCTTTAGTAAATACAGGAAGGTTAAAGAACTTACACAAAATTCTCATCTCACAGAACTGTCCTGTGAAAAGAACTTAATCTTTCTGTCACCTGAGCATGAATTTTGAGGCCCCAAACAGAAGTGATGTGAGATAAGACCGTTCTTTTCCAAAGAAGGAAACCAATTACACTGCTGCCAGTTCTGTCTCTTTAGCAAAGATTATGGTTTTCCTTGTCGAGCCTCAAAGTAAAACGGTCTAGTGATCTCATCCCGAACTGATTATCTCCAGCAGTGTCTATATAAAACCCACGTGACACAAGATTACTAGCGGCTGCAGATCCGGGGATGCTGTAGACTACTGAATGTAATGACACAGTTGAGAGGATTCTAAGGATTAAAAAGAAGCAGATGGATGCCAAGATGCACAGTGCTTAAGACACAGAAATGAAGGCACATGGAAGTTACTGTGCAGAGCGACACACCCTCACAGGCCCGGCTACTAGCCTGTCATCGTGTACTGTCCTTTTGTAAAGCTTTTATATTCCCCTATATTTTTAGGTAAAATGAGCCAAAACCCTGAAAATTCATATTTTGGGGTTCCAGTTGGCCCGAGTTTGTAAAAAGTTGTTTTCCAAGTTATTCTGAGAAACAGCATCCATCTTTTTATTCATATGTATACTAAGTTCCTGTTGGAGGCAAGAGAACAGAGTTACTCAATTCAGTGCGTTCTGACTTCCAACACACAGCCAATAGCCAAAGCACTTGCACGTCTGTAGTAAATCCTATAATAAATATTGGTATTGCTCTCATCTTGCATCCGAACCATTGAGGTTTTAAAACTATGCCAAATGTTACCAATAGAGAGGGCTATTAATACTGTGGGTGAAATGCCTTCGGAATAATATGCAGAGCATACTGCTGTGATATTCTTGAGAAATCACGAGCATAACTTTGAGGTCTTTTCGCTACTCAAGAAGTCCAGTCTACGGCGGGACATGCTCAGTTCCCAAGAAGGGTACAGGAGACAAGCTGGATGAGGATGAGTGGAGGGAGGAGGGCAAAGAAGCTGGTGATGCACATGAGGGAGCGTGCAGGTGTCCTAAATTACAAGATGGAGGATCCTCAGCACCTTAGACACCTGGGCACAAGTAAGGGGTATAATTCACCTTCTTTTTGTTCTAGACAATATGAGGACCCAGCTTTTATCCCTGTAATTCAAAATATGAGAGTACATGTGTCTAAAAACACTAGAAAACTTCTGTCCCTTTAAGATCTGACTCGAATTCATAGTCAGTTTGTGCCCAGTTTACCTCAAACTGAGGTTGTAGTTTTTAAAACTGCTTTAGTTTTCCCCCTCCTCAACTTTCAAAGAACCAGAGACCAAATCTTAGGAGCTTCAGCGGCCTTCGGAGTTCCCGGGGTTCAAAATCATAAATCTTAGCAAAGAATATGACAGGGCTTAGAAATGCTGTCACTGCCACCTAGAGGTAAAGGCAAGACATGGCTCAACCAACTAGAATCTGGTTGACATTCTCACCCTGACTCTAGTCACAGGACGTATAAAAAAATTTGTGAGTATATGAAATAATTAAAATACAACTCTAAAATAACAGTTGTCAGAGTACAGTAATATGTGTCAAAGCACCTATAATTAAATAGGTAGCCTTCTTTTATCAAGGTATTTCCCATCTCTGAAGTACGTTTTCTAAAAGAAACATACAGACCATGCTTTTTAGCAAACCACCTGCTAAACTGCTATGCTCTATAAGGAGACTATGCATAAAAGGAGCTTCAGAACAAGCTACTTGGTAAAATATATATGTATTATATATTGGTTTTGTGGGGGAAATAGATACATGTATGTATATGTGTACGTATAAATATATATACATTAGTTTTGTGGAGGAAAAGAACACAAGCACATGTACTCATTTTAAACAATTTAAAGGGTCTAGGAAAATACTGTCACCAGTAAAATCCTGTGGATATGGGAAATGAAACTTCAAATTATTATAACTGGAACTTAATTTTGTAAGTCACACTACCTTAAAGCCTAAACAGCACCTCAAGAAAAACAGAATAATATCTATAACCACTGTAAAATATATTACAGACTTATAGGTGAAAAAAAAGAGCAGCTAACTCTCCCCCACCCTAAATACAAGAGGACATGAAACAGCTCAAGTCTTCAGCTCTGGAGTCAGATCCAGGAGTTCAAACTCCCATCCCACTATCATCAGTCAGCTGGAAGATCTCAGAAAAGTGACTTCAAGTTCCCTTAACTCTCGTTAAGTCTCAGTTTCCTCAAGTGCAAAAATGCATCAACTTTAAGCTTGTTGTGGGCATTAAGATAAATATCTGGTATATAACTGGTATACAAGTGGGGATTTTTCTTCCTTTTCTAGGTCATTTGTGAAGAACAGCAGTCCCAGCATCTTCACACCAATTTCCGTTTCATGAAAATACAACGTGATCCTGGATCCTGGCTGCAAAAGGTGTGTGTTTACAGACACGTGCTTGTTCATATGTGTGGATATGCAGGTGAGGTTGTAAAATAGTTAAGACTGTATTTCTGCATCTGAAGCCCATCTGGAGACCCTCTATTCTCCTGAGTTGAACACGATAGAAAAAACAACCTGATCTTGATATACCACTGAAGGGCCCACTCTAGTAACACCCCGGGCACAGGCCTCTTACCTAGCCAGCCCTTCCTCATAGAGGTAGATGACGAGAGGGTCATAGGACGTCACAAGCACATAGAGGCGCACGTCAAACTTGAAATCTAGAAAAAAAGTTTAAGTGTACAGGAACACTGAGTTCATTTGTTTTCTGTTACAGAATGGACAGGGCAACATAACAAAGACTGCCCACACACCTTGCCTTCTGAGAATAAACAATAATTCTACTATACATATATACATACCTAACAAGAGAGAGAATTTATATATATATATGTATGTATGTATATATATATATATATAGTACAGCTTGCATGCACATTTATTATCATATAACCTATTAAGCACTCTCTTTTTGATCATCTTCAAAATAATCCTATGAGCTAGGTAAGGAACCAGCCTTATCTCTGGAGTCACAGTTGCCAAGAATTTCACACTAGCTTAATTAAGACTTACTAGAGAAGACTATAAAAATATTTTAAAACAAGAAAAATTCAGTAAGATCAGGACCCATCCAGTGAAGGACCTAATGACAACTCACCGTCTATAAGCAGGGGGTTGTTAATGTAACGGGAGACCAGGATGTTCTCCTCCAGGGAAATCTGGTTTGGCTATTGAGTAAAGAGAAAAAAGTGAAAGGGTAGAAATGCAAAGGAATCTTCACTTATAATAAGGAAGCAAAGTTCTTAACCTTTTAGAAACAATAATGTGGAAAACTAACTATAAGAAAAGCTTTCCTTCAAGCTCCCCACATAGTAATTGGCCATATAACACACCACTTCCATAAACACCATGGGTATCGAGTTATAATAGGGAAAAAAGAAATTTACACAGCCCCTCTCACATAATAAATAGAGCCTAAACAGCTTCAAAGATTATATACATGATATTAAATATTTACACGCCCAGAAAATAAAAGCTACTTAAAAAATAAATAAAAACTTGCTTTCTCAAGGGAACTCTCCTACATTGTTGGTGGGAATGTAATTTGGTGCAGCCACTATGGAAAACAGTATGAAGATTCCTTAAAAACCTAAAAATAGAGTTAACATATGATCTAGCAATCTCACTCCTGGCCATACACACAGAGAAAACTCTTAATTCAAAAAGATACATGAACCCCAATGTTCACAGCAGCACTATTTATAATAGCCAAGACAAGGAAGCAACCTAAATGCCCATCAACAGATGGCTGGAAAAAGAAGATGTGGTATATGTATTTATATATATAAATATATACACAATGGAATACTATTCAGCCATTAAAAGAATAGAATAATGCCATCTGCAGCACCACAAATGGACCTAGAAATTACCATACTAAGTGAAGTAAGTCAAAGACAAATATTATGATATCACTTATATGTGGAATCTAAGAGAAAAAAAAAGATACAAATGAATTTATTTACAAAACAGAAAGAGACTCACAGACATAGAAAACAAACTTATGGTTACCGAAGTGGAAGAGGAGGGGATAAATTAAGAGTTTGGGATTAGCAGATACAAACTACTATATATAAAATAGATAAACAACAAACTCCTACTGCAGAGCACAGGGAACTACATTCAATATCTTGCAGTAACCTATAATGGAAAAGAAAAGATACATATATACATAAAAATGTATAACTGAATCACACAACAGTGTAAATCAATTGAACTTCAGTTAAAAAAGAAACTTACTTTCTCCCAACGTAAAGCATGTTGGAAATTTTTAAATACTGCCATTATTCTATTCTTTTGTGGGGGGTGGAGATTAGGTTTATTACTTATTTATTTATTTACTTACTTACTTATCTTTTTAATGGAGGTACTGGGGATTGAACCAGGACTTTGTGCATACTGCTAAGCGTGAGCTCTACCACTAAGCTATACCCTCTCTGCTATTACCGTTATTCTTACATGAAGGCTTTCATCAAGTTGCTCAAAGAACTTACAGATCCTTCCACAATGGATCCTGACATCTCCCCTGTGAAATGGGATGGATGTTTCACTGATTCACTCAATAGTGCTTTCTATGCCATTGAATGCAAAGACCGAACTAGATCTCTTGAAGACTTTTTTGAATGCAAAAAGAGTTGTCTACACAATAAGTAATGATGAGTATTGCTGGATACTGTATAAGGCACCGAGGATACAGTCATGAAGAGATACAATCTCTGCCCTCACAGAGCCTAACCTCTAATCCCAAGAGTGTGACATTTAGGTAGAGGGACAGCAAAATACATCATCTAAAAGAACACAAAGCAGCATCCCTACAAGTACAATACATGAGGCTGCAGAGTGAAGTGCAGACCAGTGTGGTGGGACCAGTCACAGAAGGCTTGTCCTGGAAGAGGAGGTTCAGGAGGGAGTGCTGAAAGCTATCATGCACAAGGGGAAAGGCAAGAAGGCCGGCATGGAAAGACAGCAGGCGCAAAGTCCAGGAGAAAAGAGAGTGGCCAGATTCACTGACCTGGGGCTAAAAGACTGACTGGGAAATAATGAAAAGTCTGGTTAGACAATGAGGAGGGAAGATCCCACTGGCAAAGGATCTGAACCTCTGGCAAGAGGAATCTAGACTGAACATGGTGGGAGGCACGATATTCTTGTGGATTCTTGATTAAGTAAACAGTAAAATGAAAATATCTGGAACAGAACATGTCTAAGTGAGATTAAGACAGAAAAATCAGCTGTCAATCACCATAATCCATATAGGACAAAAGGACTGCAAAGAGGAAATGGCTACAATGATAACCATGATGACAATAACTATAGTAGGAGCAACAGAAATAACTAACAACATTTGCAGGAAAAAAATTGTATCAATTAATACCAAACATTTGCTATATGCGAAGCGCTGTTCTAATCCTTCACAAGTATTATTTCATTTCATCCTCGTTCAACCCCACAAGGTAAGTATATCACCATCCAATATGACAGACGAGGGAATAATCAGAGAGGGTTAGGAATCTGCTCAAAGGCACACAGCTAATAAGTGACAGAGTGGCATTTGAACCCAGGCAGTCTGCCCTAGAAGTGTAATTCTTAAGCAATATTCACAGCTTTCTCCAAAGTTCTGATCTAAAAAATGGACCCCAAATTCAAAAGTTTGCCTTTATAATAATGCATTTGCTCTCCCAAGTACTACAGTTATCATAAAACAAGATAATTTTGTGACCCATAACATCATACACAATCATGATGAGCAATTCCAGAGTCAAGATAATGAGACTCCCCTCTCATTTCCCACTGCTGCTATCTCAAACCCACAACACGAGTTTCACATGCCATCTCTATGCATCATGTGGACACCAGAACATCACTACTGATTCACACTCATGGACTTGGTCACCCACACCATCTCCTGACTCCCTTACATTTCTCGATCAGTTTCTCACACGTACTATTTCTATTTTGAGTCAGCTTAGTCTGTAAGAACTGATGCAATCACAGTACACAGCAGCAAGCTGCAGGCAGTGTTCCAAACCTAAAATCAAACAACTGCAGCTCTTTCTCTACTGAGTAACACCTACAGGCTACAACAGACCACCCAACTGTCCTGGGATCCAGAGAATCCACTGTTAATGACCTTCAATCCATGACACACCTAATGTCCACGCCCGTGTCCTCTCTTCCCTATCTCATCAAATACATTTGTCCTTTGAGTTTTGCATAACATAATCTCTTACATTATTTAGGTAACTTTAATATGTGTTCAATGGTCTTTACCTCTCATTTCTATCTGTGTTAGGAATTAAATTGTAAGTTCACAGAAGAAAAGAATGGTTTGGGTTGTTTTTTTGCATACTGTAATACTGATGAGCAACTCATAAAACCTTTTTGATATCTTCAAGCCTGTTTCCTTTTCAGTCATTCCAAATTAACTTATTTTAAATGATGTCAGTTCTAAGCTCAAATTGCCCTCCAAAGTATGCTAAAGCAAGAATCTGAATTGCTGGGAAAGCTGGAAACCCATCCATTTTTCTAATTTGATGTTAAGATTAAAGCTCATGGTATCTATTAAGTTATTGTATGGTAGAATGGTGCAGTGGTTAAGAATGCAGGCTCTAGAATCAGCGAGACCTGAGTTGAAATCTTCAATTACTAAGGAAAGAATAGTATCTATCTCTTAGGGTTCTTATAAAGACTAAATGAGGTTATATTTGGAAGGTGCAGTGGTAGGCACACAGTAAATGCTCAACAAATACGTTATTATTATTGCATACTCAAGAGTATCTATGTGGTTCTGTTTACTAAGGTCCATAACTCGACAGCATTCATCACGGCAGGTCACATGCCATCCTGCTCAGAACAGTGCACTGGGTGATAATGAAGATACAAAAGAGTTAGGAGACAAACCCTCTTCTTCAAAAGGTTTTAAGGAGTGGCAGCACCTGGCACGCAACGGGGACTCCCTTAATTATTTGTTGAACAGTGAGAAAAACTGGAAAGCACGTGAGATAACATAGAGACAAACAGAAATAAGAGGGCTGCACAGAATTATCTTCACAAATACAGGAGTGAGCAGAGGCAGAGCCCTAAATACTCTCCTGATAGTTCAAAATCTCAGAGAAAAGATTAATATTCTATTCACCATGGAAGATGTGTGAGACAAGGATGACTGAATTTGATTTTCCTAATCAAATTCATACCTTAATCAGAAAACACCAGATCTTTCCCCTCAATCTGAATACACTAAATTGGGAAAATATGGCATTTAGTCATGGTTACTGAAGGAGCTGGAGCAAACAACTCTGTCCTTTATGCTGTATTTCCAGAGTTAAAGAGCACATCATTACGAGACCACGTTAGCCAATCAGCCAAGATGCTTCCAACCGTAGGGGCTCACGCTCCTCTCCTCAGTAGTGCATAAAAGTCAGGCTTTTTCTATCCTTCATCCTGTCCTCGTAATGGTACAAGTTGCTATTTGCAGATATTTTCCAAAAGGTTACAAGGAATTTTTAATAAAAGGCCCTTCTCATTCCAGCAGGAAGACAGGGAAAGATGTTTTTATTTGGTCCTCACACCTAACTCCGCCCCTGTCCCCAGCACCCCCCTTACCCACTCACATCAGTTCTGTTCAGACCCTCCGCCTGAGCACTCCCTCTCCCTCCTCCAAATCTAAAAGGAAAGCAGGCAGCAGCCTTGGAAAGAGTTACTTCATCCCGTTGGCTAATGGGTCACATATTCCATGGGAAAGGATCCAGGTATGGAAAAGAGGGGCTGGTTAGGCCTTGTGTGTAAGGAGAGAGAGAAGAGTATTAACTACATGGTTTGTAGGTCTGGGTAAAAGGTGATAAAATTCCAGTTTGGGAGTGAAATGGGAGTATTTTCCCATTATGTCCGCATGGTGCCAGCTCCCCTGGTGCCTGCTGGCATCCTCCCAGGCTCCTGTCTGGCACCTCCACCAAATACCTCAAAGATTCAGACTCATTCCAAAGCTTCGCTGAGGGGGAGGGGGCAGGCAGAGGGTCCTGCCAAGTACTTTGATCTATGCAGGGGGTCTCGAGGGAGTCAGCCCAGAGAGAGGTGGGAGGGAGGAGGGCCTGCCAAATGCATTCTCTCAAGACTTGTCACCCCCTTTATGAGACACAGCATCCAGGGAAGAGTTGGGGCACAGGGTTCTCAGCCCCACCAAGGGAAGTTTAACTTTTCTATTCTTTATGATGTCGGTTTTAAAATAACAAATCACTGGGGCAAAAGAGCGTTCCAAGAGGAAAAAAAAGTCCCAGATGAGCTGGGAATGATCCTATTCTTTTTGACTCATGTCTAAGAAAATAAAAGGCAAACTTGCACCACAGTTGACTTTCAATAGCAATTCCATTTGGCAGCTAAAATCCAAACCCAAACGAGTGTCGTCTATGAGACTCAAACAACACTGGCGCTCCTGGCATGGAGCTGAAGGAAAAGCTGTTGGACAGGAGCCTTCAGGCCAAGGTCAGAACACAGACAAGAAGACAGAGAGCCCAGGCATGTGACTGAGGCCTCCTGTCCCAAGAGAGCCAGGGTAAGAGGCCTCCAGAGTGATGCAGGGCCAGGTAATGGGACTTGCAGCCTGGGCCTGGGGTGGTAGTTGTTACTGTATCATAACCAGATCCTGGGTTTCTTCTGCACAAAAGATCTGGCGATCAGTGTTTACTGCACAGTTTTTAGTCCAGACTGAATTTAAGGATTTTCCAATGTGAAAGACCCCTCAGAAAGTTCGTTTCTGCACATATAGGAAATAGCTCAGACCACATGACCCCATACATGACACATCTACCCCTACTCTACCTTTTCCGGGTCCCACTGCTAGGACAGAGAAGATACTTTAAAAGAATTAAATAGGGAGAGGGTATAGCTCAAGTGGTAGAGCACATGCCTGGTATGCACAGGGTCCTGGGTTCAATCCCCAGTACTGCCTCTAAAAACAAACAAACAAACAAACAAACCTAATTACTCCCCCCCACCAAAAAAAAGAATGAAATGATAACAAGGCTAGAAAACAGTTAAAGGAGCCAACAAAAGACCAGAGGTTTAAGGAAACCCTGAACAATAGACAGTAGATGGGAACAGGTTAAGAAAACAGAGCAGAGGAAGCCCCAGCCCAAAATATCAGAGCTGAGAGCGGTCTTCCCAAGGAGGCCTCTGAGGAGTTCTAAGCTGGCAATGAACAAACACGAGGAGCAGGAGTGAGCCAGGGGACAAGATCATTAAGAAACAAACAGCATGCAAAACGGTGAGGCCGGTGGGCCTTCTCCAACAACCAAAGCTCCGCCCTCCGGACACAACCTAAGGATGACTCCAGGAGGACACCTTGCTTGGGTGCAGGGATCTGACAGAAGAGTGGAACTTGAGGCCACTGTATCCCTCCAAGGCACAAAGAGAGAAAGAGGAGAGAGGCAGCGCTGCCCCAAAGGGAAGTCACCAAAGTCTTCCTCTACACTCACAATGAGGCCTGCCCTGTTTTGGCAACAGGGAAGGCAGAGGCGTGCTCCTCACTAACACCTAAGGTGCGGCCTGACGGTCAACATGCTGTGCCCTCGCACAAAGCTCACAGCCAGTCTCCTGTCCCGGGAGAAGCTATCAGGGAATCAGTCCCACACAGCAGTAGAGGAACCCAGGCCAGCTGTCAATCTCAGTCAGTCAGGTCTTTTGTTCACAGGGATGACTCAACACCTAAGGTCACGGAGAGTGAGAAAACCCAACCGTGGAGGAGAAAAGATGATCCCAAGAAAACTCATGAAACAGAAGAGAACTTTAAAAAGCTTTCAGTTCGTTTCCTCAGAAAAACCAGCAGGCAAATGGCATCCATCAAGCAACAACAGGCTGGTACCAAAAAAATAAATAAAAAGGCAAATCAGAAAATAAGAGCTTCTATAAATCCTGATAGCCAGAATAACAAAATGGATAAAGCTCAAACCGGTGATTCAGAAGATAAAGATGGGAAGAGACAGAGAATTTAAAATGAGAGAGAAGTTGACATGAAGAAAAGACCCAGAGTGTTTCAAAAAGGAGTTCCAGAGACCAAAAATGGGTGATTTTCCCTGAACTAAAGAAAAATACTAGCTTCTATGTTTAAAGGGACAACTGAATGTCAAGGAAGAAAAATGAAAAAAGACCCAGACTGAAACACTAGTGCAATTTCAGAATTCCCATCTGTAAAGTTTCTACTGAGTTTAAATTTTTATTTAACTTGCAAATAAAACAGAGAAACTGAATTATAATTACTGAAGAGAGTATAAAATTATAAACCTTTACAATATGAAAATAAAAAGTAATCAAACTTGGAAAAGGAATGTGAAGGGGGGATAGGAGATGATATGAGTGCAGAAAATATCAAACTGAGAATTATGAAATAAAACGTGAAGCTGAGAAAAGAAGAAACATCAATCAGCTACATTAGGTTACTATCTACTGTTTTAAGTCTAGTGAGTGAGACTGGGGTTGGGATTTTATTTTTTTTAACTCTGTATATGTATTCAACTGAAAAACAACTTGAATGCGGATTTTGCAAAGAATCAAGAAGTCATACTGGTGACTGCTGAAAAAAGAAGAGGATGAGGAGGAAGAAGAAGAAAGAAGAGTGGAAGGAGCAGACACAGCAGCAAGGATGCCATTCCCAATTAAGGTTTAACTTCCTTGATGACCTTGAGTCATGTGTCTGCTCACAACAGGAACGAAGTATGTGTGCTACCACTTAATGCTCAGTGTTAAGTAATTAACAAGACAGAACACTGAAAGCAGAAAAAATACCTCTTTTCTGCTGATACCAAAGGCTGCCCTCCCCCAAAATCTGATCAAGTGATTTATTAGCCATAGAATAACAGTTGGCATGGGAGGAGGTTACTGCCAGTAAGGTGAACAGTAGACTCATACCTACCCTCAAATCACACTTCTGAATGCAGATTTAGAAGCTAAGACAAAGGGTGAAGCAGGGAAGAACTAACACAGAGAGAAGCCCTATGTCGCCCACTGCATACTTACATTGTTGATCAGGTAGACGCCTCGCCCTCTAGAAGAGGCCACTGGTTTTACTATCCAAGGTCCCCGGTCCTTTGAATATGAATCTGCTCAAAACATTGAGAGAGAAAAAAGGAGAAAGAAAAAAAGAGAGAGAAAGGGCATGAGTTTATTACCTCAAACTTCAACAACAGTTATCTAGGCAGGTACCCAAAGAATTTTCCAAATTTCCAAGTGAAGGACAGCAGTAAAATAACCTGTATTTCTGTACTAAAAAATGAAAACAGAAAGAGAGAGAGAAAGACAAAGACAGAGGAAAGAGGAGGAAGGAAGAGAAAGCAAAATTATATAATGTATTTCTTCCACCATTTCCCCTCTTGAATGAGAGAATGAAAACACAGTAGGGCAAATATCAGTAGGTCAAATATCTGGGTATTAGTCTCTTGCTGACACAAACAACCTCCATGAATCTTTTGAGATTCTAGCCTCTATTAACTGAAGAACCTCCAGAGGCTCACACTGCAGACAGTGACAACGCGAGTCAAAAGTCAGATCCCCTAATATGATAATTTTCCTTAAGCAATTTCTCTAAGGTTGTAAGAAAAAATTGCCTTAAATCAACAATGTGTGAGTGGAAAGGTAGGACAATAATTTGCATGTAGTTAAAAGGTGCCCTTTACTCTTGTTCCTTTCCCAGATTCAGGGTTACACTTTAAATTCCTTTGGATCATAGAAAGAGAAACCACACAACCCACACAAGGAGCCCAGAGGCTCGTAGATGGCTCCGCCCTCCACTTAGGGAAGGTCAGGGGACATGGGAGAGAAACAGGGACAAGGGACTCTCCTTCTGATTGGAGCCAAACTGTCTCTCCAAGGCCTCCCTGCAGGAACCTGACTTGGTCAGTGCCACAAACCGTTCTCTAGGAGAAAAAGCAGATCTCCCCCACATCCTCCCCAGCTTTTTCCCTTGATGCAGCCTAACAGAATTAGAAAAAATGTGATGTACCACACAGGATTTAAAACTCTGTGAGCAACTGCACTTCTGGAAATGTACTCTCTAATCCTACTTACATACATGTGGAAGGTTCTTTGTATAAGATTATTCAATGCTGCATTGTAACAGCAAAAGACATCCATAAATTAATTAATACACTATATTGTACCTATATGAGGGGGTGGGAAACTTTTGGTAAAAAGCCAGATAATAAATAGCTTAGGCTTTGCATGCCATGCAATCTCTGTTGTAACTATTCGACTTTGCCGTGGTAGCTTGAAAGACACCATAAACAATATGTAAATGAAGGGACACGGCTGTGCCCCTCAAAAACTTGATTTATGGGCACGGAAATTTGTATGATTTCCACATGCCATGAAAATTTTATTCTTCTCTGGATTTTTGTTCAACCATTTAAAAATGTAAAAACCATTTTTAGCCCATGGGATATACATAAAAAAGCAGAGGACTGGATCTGACACAGGGTTGTAGTTTGCAGACACTTGCCTAACGGAATAGTAAGCAGACACACAAAATGAGACACACTATTCATGAACAGAGAGGGAATGAGTTCAAAGATAGGCTGTTGAGTGGAAAAAAAGTAGAGTTCAGGGAAATGTGTATTGTACGCTCCTATCTGTTCACAGACACACTCAAGTTATACAAGTAGAGAGAATATCTCTAGAAGGATATGTAAATATACTAGTAACACTGATCACCTCTGGATGACTGAGGGAAAGAGGAGAAAAGAAGCTTTTCACTGACTATTGTTTTGTTTTGTTTTTGTACCATGGGACTATATTACCTTTCAAAAAATAAAATTTACATAATTTTAAAATCCTGCTATAGATGGCATATTGACAGTTATGTAAGACAAATTACATCTCTATAAAGTGAAGCCATTGAATATATGTATACGTATACACTTTATATATTTTTCCATTTTCTCCAAATTCTAAGAGTATGACAGACTGAGCACAAAAGATGCTATGGATAATAAAAGAAAACAAAACAAAAAAATTCAACAATTTTAAAACTTCATTCATTCAATATTCTAAGTACCTAATCCGTGTCAAGCAGCTTGCTAGTGTGGGGCACGTAGTAGTGAACGAGACACTCCCTGCCCTCACGGAGATCAGACTAGCAGAAAGGTAGACACTGAGCAAGTAATTACAGACACACTGAGCTCACAAAGAGGAAGTGCAGGTGCTCCAGGAAGGCCAGAGAAAATGGCCAGACCTGTCTGCAGTGACAAGCAGATACAGAAAATGCTCGTTTTTAGAACAGGGAAAATCTGGCTAAATGCAACTTTTGCCATCTAACACATTTAATAAATCCTACTTTGTGAGCTAGCTTTATCAGAAGTTTCTGCTTCTTCTGGTGTTTCACTTTTATCATGATCTTGAAATTCTAAGTATCAGAAATTTGTCTTTGATGCTAGGCTTTTCTCCTTGATTTGTTATATTTCAGCACAAGGACTGATTTCTTTCATAGGTTCTAAAAATGTAGGTAGGATTCTGGCCGGTTAGCTCAGTTGGTTAGAGCGTGGTGCTAATAAAAATGTGGGTAGGAAGCAAGAAAAACTAGAGGTAGAGGCAGGGCAAAGAGCTCAGTAGCCTGTTAGGATGATGAAGATGTCCGTAATTCTTTCTTGTGCCTTCCAGGTCCTATGGTGGCAGCATGTTCAATCTAATGGAAAGAGCACTGAATTAGGAGTAGAATGATCTGAGTTCTAATTCTGGTTTTTACCATGGGCAATCTGCTTAACTTATCCAGTCTCATCTTCAAAATGAGGGGTTTAGCCTGAACTCCTGAGATCGCTCTTAATTCTAGTATTATGATCCTATAAATTTACTGATTGCTTTGAAATCTAGTCATCTGCTATTAACCAGCTGACATCAAAGTTTTGCTTATTCCTTAGAATTATTTCTCTCTTGCAACAAAGATGGCCAGAGGACAAAATTCTGGCCAATTAGATGTAAACAGAAATCTGCTGGGGATTGGGGACAAAGTTCTTCTTTTCTGGTATTGGCACCATCCTATCTTCCTTCTGGTTTCCTTCTTCCTGCTTAGAAAGCTGTCCACTGCGGGGGGTCAGGGTTGGGGGGAGGAGGGATATAAGTGGCTGGAGCTGGCAAGAGACTCAGGTTCTTCAGGGTCACAGACCTCCAATTCCACTACATACTGCAACCAGCAACAGTGGCACAAGGAGTCTAGCAAGATCTGTCTGTGTATTCCGAGCCTCACACCCAAATTACTGGCACCAGTTTGGTAGCATCCAGGCTTTCACACCTCTTACGGCAGTGGCTGGTCTCTGGACTAGATCTCTACAGAGATGGATTTCAGGTTTTCTCTTATTAGAACTAAAAGCTACAAATTCAAGAGCTCCACCTTGGCTGGTATCACTAGTGTCTTCAGGCAATCCTCATGTCTGGTCTTTATCAGGACCCTTTCAAAGGCCCTTTGCAGGCTATTCCCATGCCTCTCTGCCCCTCTCAAACTCCCTGGCCCAGCCCTGGGCCCCTCATTCCTGGTACGTGTCATCACCCTCCTCACCCAGAAGGCTGGGAATCTGTAACATAAACTCACTGACCTGCTTTCCTCTCCATCTAAAATTGTATCTGGGTCATCACTTAGCCTTCTGCCTTCCCTCCCTTTAGGGGAGAGATGTGCCCACCTCCTTCCCAAAGCTCACCCTTCTACTTGGGCTCTTAAGGGAATCCTCCCGCTTCCTCTGGGACTTCATTCCCTTGCTCATGTCTTTGAGTTCTCTCTCCCCTCTGATTTCTCTGTGCTTCCTCTCTTTCTCTTTCCTCTCCCCTGCTAATTACATCCACCTCCATATCTGCAACTTCCAAAATCTACACCTCTGGCCAGAACTCAAAACTGCCCTTACAACTGCCTACAAAATATCACTACATGGAAGCTTGCAGGCCCATCAAATCCACACCAGTCCAAAATGTGACATCCTCTGGCCCTTCAACACTCTTCCTTCTCATTCCTGGCTACACTCCCCAGTTAGACTTAATGATCCTTCCAGCTTCTCAGACTCACACCTTTGCAGATCTTTGACCCCCACCTCCCTACTTGCAGTCAGTTAGTAAATCGTGTTTATTCTTCCCTTCTTTCCACTCCTCCTTTCATTCCAGCTCCCTAGCTCAGTCCACCCGCACTTCTTACCTGCATTATGGCAGTAACCTTCAAAGTAACCACTGTGTTTCTTCCCCTACTCCCTCCAATTCATTTCACAGTTATTTTCCTAGAGGCCAGCCTGTTCACATCTCTTTCCTTCTCAGGAATCTCCTACTGCCCACACTCAGGCAAGCCCTGGAGGGTCAGAACACAAGAGTCATGAAGAAAGGGGAATTTCCAAGTTATGTTAGGTGGATAGCAAAAGAAAAGAGAACTTAAAACAGACTTTATGAAGAAGAGGAATGTCTCTTTGAAAGAGGAAGTGGTAGGAAGAGGCAGGCTTCTCCCCTAATGTGTAAACTCAGAAACACAACTTTCTGAGGCTGATCTCTCAACAGTGGGTATAAGTTTGGAGATCATGGACTCTGGACAACTGGCAAAGAATGACTAGCATCCTGGCAGGACTGAAATCAAGAAGATTCCTCCCTACTATCATGTCTTCCCTGGTCCCTCCTCCACCGCACAGTAAGTCCCTGCTGTGGTCTTTGGGTGGTAACGGCAATGAGTAATTTGTTTTGAGACTGAAGAACATTTGTCTATAAAAACTGCCCTGGAGCGAAATGTGGTGGCTCTAGGACGCAGTTGTGCTAATTCTATGTATTCTGTCAGCCTTTTGAATTTATTTTTGTTAAAGAGTAGAACACGTAAGAGTTTGAACAGTATGATGAAGAAGCAATTGTACTGAAAGACACATCAGACGTGAATGGATGGAGGAAGTCTAACTCGATGCAGTCTTCTGAATGAACATCTCCAGCCCTCAACCTGCCTCCAAAGGGCGGGGAAGAACCACAGAGTAAGAGCAGAGAGGAGAAAGAGCATTTTCAACTTCATATTCCTTTAGCGTTTAATAGGGAATCAGCCTGGACTTTAATTTCTCATTAGGGATTCACCAGCAGGAGGAGTTCATAACAGGAATGCTTTCAACTTTTAAATGTTTATGCTGCCATGTTGGTTAATTGCATAATTTTTCACTTTTATTATGAAACAATACATCTCAACATAACCCAAATAGGAAATATTACTGAACATTTATTAAGTGCCTATCAGGCAATACTCCAGGTGCATTAGCCTCTCTGGACCTTAGTTTCCTCATCTGTAAAACTGGGAAGAACAGTCCCTACCTCAGAGTAAAGGCGTCCCTTGGAGAGGGCCTAATAGAAAGCAGTGTTCTTTAAGCGTTAGCTATTATTATTATTATTCCTATTTAGACTCTCACAAAAGGCCTGCCTCACACCTTCTCTGTACATGTGCCTCTTCTGTGCACTAAGCCTACTGAGGCAGGGTCTGAAAGCCTGGGGAAATAGCCCATCTCCTCTGCTTGGACCTGCGGAGGTAAGCTCACATCAAGACAAAAGAAATAAAAAGCACATTGAGACTTGGATGCAGGCCTTGTGTCCCCATCTAGCTTTACCAGCAATACAGCTGACATTCACATGCCTATTTGGCGCCCATGTGTAGTTTTTAATTAATCTGAACACCAAGAAGAGAGAGTGTGGCTGACTGGTACCTCCAAACTCTAACACCAAAAGATTTGTGATACTTGCAGCCCAAAGAACATGTATCACACAAGTTCAGAAATCGAGGTGACAGGAATATTCCTTAAATGGCAACAGGAAAAGAGACACCAAAAAGGGTGCATACGTAGTTCACATGCAGAAGTATATACATCCTTACCTGGGCACTAACTGTTGTCAATGAAGAAGAGACTTTCTGTATTAGACAGGAGCACACTGATGTGGCACCAATGTCTCCTTACATAAATGTTACTGGCAAGCTTACCAAGAGCAAACATATAAGCACACATTCAGAATAAAAATGATTTTGAAGTTACCTCTGCAGCTGTTTTACTAAAGAAAAAACTTCTTAAAGGATTTGAAAAGCCCTGATTGGTTCTGGACTTGAGGCAGCCCCTGGAGTAAACCTTCCCCCAGTTCAGTTGCTGAGGATGGGGCATCAGGAGTCAAGCACTTACTACAGAATTCCGCGTACTCAGCTGGCAGCAGGAAGGTCTGAGGGAGGATGTGAAAAGCCTTGAATCCATGTGTATGCTGCATTCGAATGATATTTTTGTACAGTCGGTCCTTCCGGGTTAGTTCATACGACCTAAAATTCATAAAAGCATCTCCATTTCAGAGCTTTTTCTGTGTCATCACATGCTACAGAGTTCATAGCTCAGTTTTAGAGCAGTTACTGAGGATAGTATTATATCCCAAATCTATCACTTTGTCAAGGAAATGATCACCTTAAAATTAGGGCAATAATTGCTACCTATCAGGGAGTGGAATCTAGCAAATTACCAACAGGCACTTCATTTAGCCTCGACTGGATTCCTGAGTCTGTGGTTTGTTGCACTACTTAAAAATCATCTAAGAATCTTTGCTGCAACTATTAGAAATGAATTCTAGCTGTTCCTCAGTTCAAAAATTTTACTATGATTTCCTAAAACCAAAGGTTGCTTTGCCAAATCTAGGTATTATCATCACTTCTTTCTTACCCATCGTCTTCTTCACATGTAGAGCAGACGGCCTCAAATTTTAGTGTACATAAGAATCACCTATATAGTTTCTTTTCAAAAAATGGATGTTCCAGGGTCTCAGCTCTCAAAATCCTGGTATGAAGTCTAAGATTCTGCATTTTAAACATGTACCCCAGGTGGTTTTGGTACAGATGGTCCAGAGACCACACTGTAACACTAATTTAGCCTAGAGCAGTAATTTCCAAACTTCTCAGATTTAAATCACCTCATTGCTTCTAAAATAAACAGCTTTCTAGGTATATATTTACCTAGAAAGATTAAGCACCTAGAAGGTGCTTTTTAAATATACCTTTTATATTTTACATTACTATATTATATATGATAATATATAATATAATAATATATATTATATACTTTAAGACCCATGAATATATATATTTTAAAAGTACCCTCAATGATGCTTATCATTAAGGAATTAGAAATACTGAAGTAGAAGATAAGAAGAACAACTCATCCGCCTACAGATATCCAATATTAGTCGTCTCCAAACTTTTTCACTTTGTACTCCCAATACAAATTTTGGAAAACAATGCATCCTTTTAGTTATCAAGATTTTTTCATCATAAATTTAAATTGTTCCAAAGGATCCAATGAACAGCAAATATTATTTTTAAATAAAACTGTAACACTCTCCTTTTAGGTATATTCAAGGGAACCTAAATAACATTAGGATTCACTACTCACTGTATATTTTTTAAGTACTGTGAAAGAAAAGTGACTTTTTGTCAGTAAATTTCTCACTTTTTAAAATACTATACTTTTTACTGAAGGTAATATATATACAGAAAGGTATCCAAGTCACAAATGCAGAGTATCACGAATTTTGGTCACCTGTGTGACCACCACTGAGCACAGAACATTCCCAGCTCCCTCAGAAGCCTCCCTTAGACTCCCACCCAGACGTTATCTCCCCATTCACCCTTGTTTTCACTTCTTCCATACCATTTCATCCAAAGAACAGCTCAGCCTAACAGAACATACTTAATGCTTGCAAGTCTTTTATATTATATCTTCTCTACAACAAAAATATGTATATTAATTACTTATAATATTTTTTAATTTCCTGTGATCACAAGGCCGTATGTCACATATATTGAACTGATTATCATTGTAAAAAGATAGTACACAATTCATCGAAATATAAATATTATAAATTTTGATTAAAATTTATATTATAGTAATGTTAACTTCTCCACTTTGATCATTATACTATGGTTATAACTAATGTTAACATTAGGAAAATTGGGTAAAGGATACATAGGAACTCTCTATATTATATTTTTGCAACTTTTCTAAAAGTAAAATTATTTAAAATTATAAAAGTACATTAAAAAGAGTTCACAAAAATATTGGAAACATTTTAAGTGTTTGAATTCCTCTTGCATGTGAATTAGAAGTCTTTGGACTGAAAACAAAAATATATAGTAGCAGAAGCCAACGTATACTGCATTTAGATAATGGAATGTTAATGTCCTCAAACATTCATGTACAACACATTCAAAGAGAAGTGAAGAAAATACAGGCTAGAGGTTATTACTATTGTCTGAGTACAAATTGAGATGGAATTTCCATATACCTACAGGAGTAGTTCAAAAGCTGTTGAAATAAATAGTATACTACTGACATGAATTAGGAATGCAGACTCTACTGTGGGCTATTTTAAGACTGTTTGAATACCTATTTAAAATAGTTGCATCTGATTCACTTCAAGCATCCAGTCACACATTTGGAAACCAAATCCACATCTTCCAGGCATTAAGGAAGAAAATAAGGTTTCAATTATTCTCTACCAATGAAGCTCAGACATAAAATAAATCCGGAAATTGTAATAAAGACTCAAAACATACATTTACCTAAAATTATGAAGAAATTATTTGACATTAGAGATAGTATAGGCTGGGTATTTATACACATTGACTGAGTACTAAGACAGTAGAATTGAATAACCAAGAAAGAACTTTCATCTCATGAAAAGGAGAAGAAAAGAAATGAGGTGACTGAAAATAACTTGTTAGCATGAGTGAGTAACTGGGGCATAAGTCCTAGAAATAAAATGTGACATAACCACTGACTAAATAATAAAAATTTTATTGGATTTGTGCATCTCTTCATTAGACAGACGAGATTAGCTGCCCTCTTCTCCAGCAGGTCATACATCTCTCCATGGTTAAACATTACTTACTGCTAGAATGAAGTAGGGTTCAGTATCGATTATATCCCTATTTTCTTTTTCACAGATAAAAATATGGAGAAACTTTGTTCACAAAAATAACAGCTAACATTTATACAGTGTTTACTATGTGGCAAGAGTGCACTGCTCTAAGCACTTTAGATGTTGATACATTAAATCCTCACCACAGTCCTACGAAGTGTGTGTCATTAGTAACTTCTTTTTACCAATGAGGAGGCTGATGCTCAGAAAAGTCACTTGCCCAAGGTCAGTCAGTGGAGCTGTGATCTGGGCCCAGGTAAGCTGGCTACAGAGCGTGTGCTTCTAGTCACTAGACAATATTGTCTCTCTAGGCTGACATTAACCAGTGGGACTGGAAGGAGTTTAATATAGCAATGACACTCAATTCCTTGAATTCCATTCTAACTATATGTCAGAAGTCACAAGATGACCTATCATTAAAATTTATATTGAATGATCTCTCAGCTGGCAACCTGATTATGTCCTCCTTTAATTCTGTTAAAAGTAAAGAAATGGAAATCATTATCATGCAAAAGAATATGTTATGTTATTACTAGAATTAAACACCAATATTTTTGTTCCTTTGTTTGGAACACTGGAAATGTTTACACCCCAGGACAATGCATCATATTACAATTCTAGGTGAGCCATTCTTTTATAAAGGGGAAAAACAGTAACTAAGAAAAAGGAGGTAAGAAGGGAGAACTTATCCACATGAAGGGTTCACAAGCAGCTCAATTCTAGAAAAGAGATCTATGGGATTTGCATCCCAGAAGCAGTGTCCTTTAAAACCATCCATGCCTACAGAGTCCTTACAAAGTCTTAAGATATGTCCAGGGATGTGAACACTTCAGTTTGATTTGTAGACTGCTGCCCTATATCACAGACTTTTTTGTTTTAAAGAACATTAATTACCTCTGCTGGCTACCTGCCTCAATGTCAGGTACCTTTACGTGGAGCAAAGTAGCTACAAGAGCATTACCTGGGAAAGTGATTAACCTTTTGTGCTTCAGAGAGGGTGCGAAGTAAGAAGGGCTTCAGATGGGATCCTGTCCACATTAGGTTATAGTCAGTGCTGCTTGGGTGAACCTAAGGGCAGATAAAAATACAAGATAAAAAACATCAGAGATAGCCCCTGGAAGAATGATGGAAGGAAAAGCCAGAGAGATTTTTCATCGACAGTGCATTCATAGGGGCAGCCCAGCTGGACAAATACTATACGCAAAAGGTAGAATAAATTAACCTTTTTATAGAAGTCCATGATGTCTCTTAATATTCTTGCATATCAAAGTATGAGATGAAGACCCAACCCAAAAATCCTTCTTAAACTGTCGTTATATCCTTGTAGATGCTGGGTATAAAGTGATGATCAGATCTAAAACCTTATAGTATAAAACCAACTTAGAATTCACTCATTAATTCATTAGAATTCATTTGCCCATTCATTCAAAAATGCTGGATTCTCTGCCTCTGATGTGACAGGTATCATGTTAATCCCTGGAGATAAAAGAGCAACAAGGCAGGACATAAACTGGTACCAGAACTTCTTCAAAATGTCTACTTCATACCTCAATCTAGGATAAGGAGCTAGTAACCAGACTTTTATCAACTGTCTCAAAATATCTACAGTGGAAGTCTGTCCAGAACTTTTGCCTGTCCCTTTTGATGTCAACATCCCAATCTTCCTACTTTTCTTTGGGAATAATAGACTCCTTGGTATTAGAAGACCTGTCAATCACCTGCCCCTCCCCCAAGGAGTAGACCCTTGACCCAAGCTAGGCCAGTTATTCTAACTCCAGAATATGATTCTTGGGCAGAGAAAGGCACAAGGACAGTGAATGGAGTCGATTCACTTCTACAGCAATAGAGATGGTCCTGAAGACTTCTGTTCCCAGATCCCTGGGACTATTGATGTCTCTCTCCTTCCATGATGTCTCTCTTCTTCCAAAGGCCTCCTTTTTCAGATTTTCCTCTGATTCTGCTAGCCATGCTGTGTACATCTTTCCTACAAATCCTTTTCGGTTTAAGTTAGGCAGAGTCTGTTTCTGTTGCTTGCAATCAAAGAGCTTTAATTGGGTACCAGACAATTCCTTATGGGCAACTCTGCCTCTAGCCCATGCCTAAAAATATAGCAAGCAGAAAAAAAATTTTGTCCAAAAATAAAATAATCTTGCAGAAACGTTTTCCATGTACTTCAAAGATAAACTGATAAAGCCACTCAGAAATTCAATTCAAGTTCTGTCATCACTAAGCAGTGGTCCCATGTACTTTCCAGAGTTGGCCCTATTAACTGATAGTCAATTAGGTGGCTAGGATTTTCAGCTTTTGAGCAGATCAAGTAAGGTAGTGAAAATGAACTTACTTCATGAAATCCATGGGCTGTCAGAATGCTGCGTACCAGGCGACTGTCTGTTCGTACAATCTTGTAAGATAAATGATAACGTTCTAAAGAAAAACACAGAAGCAAGTTCAGTAACCAGAAAGTTAACTGTGGAGAAAGAAATAAACTGTAGATGGTGGCTGGCTTAATTATACTCAATAACATTATACTGCTATCCTTATCCTATTACAAGTAGGTTGAGGATAACTTTGGACCAAGGGTTCTTAACCTGAGATTCACTAGGTGTCATTAATCATGGATAGGGGAAAAAATGACATCTTTATTTTCACTAATTTCTAGCTGAAATGTAACACTACCTTCAATTAGAAATGTAGGCAACAAAGCAGAATAGTTTTAGCAGTGCCTATGACCTTGCCACCAGTAGGTATCAAGTATTTGAATATTATTTTAAAGTTGTTTACAGTTACCTCAAAAAATCACTTATTCTCACAGTATTTAAAAATTATGGCAGTTAACAGACTCACCACTAGATCATACTATTTAATGCAGTAATAAAAAAAAGCATATATATCTCAAATTTGATTTTTTAAAAAATATTTTGATAAGTATATTTCAATACAATTTCTTTGCAGTCTTATGTATTTTTAAAATACACTTTAAAAACATTAGTCTGACAAGAGATGCATAGGCTTCTCCATACTGCCAACAAGACCCACTGCATCAAACATGTTAAGAAACCCTGTTCTAGATAGCCCTCATGTGCAATAATGCTGGTTACCAGCATATCTTAGACCAGAGGTTACAAACTGAGACACAAGGGCCAAAAACCAATCTGCAAACATGGTTTATTTCTCATTGTACTTTAAAAATAAAATTGAATTAATTGTTAGCCTTTTGAAATTGGAGGAATTCACATAAAAATCTAGATTTCTGGGCTTGTTTTGAAAATTCTGGCAACCCTGGGCTCTCTGTCTGGCAAAGCAAGAGTCAACCGGAGAAGTGCGAGTGCTCCCTTCAGGACAGGGCTGCGCTGTCCAGTTCAGCACCGTCCCCACCCGGCCTGCTTCATTCATTCTTATCTCCTGCCAGGGCCCTAAGAGCAGGCTGTGCTTGTGACCTCTGTCTAAGAAGAAAGTCTATAATCATGTGAGGTTTCTATATATCCCGAAGACTAATATTTACTCTAGCCCATTAAATTCAATTTCTTTCTATGCATCTCTACAAATTGTTCACTAAGAATTCTCAGAATAATTTTTAAAAAGGACTACATACTGAACAATTTCTGAAGGAGTATAATACAGAAACTTATAGACAGACCCTAGAACAAAATTCAGCCTCTACAGTTAAACATAAGCATCTCTTTTTATAAATGTATGTGAAAATATTCACAAATCCTTCCTGCTACTTGTCCAGCCCTGACAGGAACACCATGCCAAGCAGACACAGGAGGATTAGAATGACAAGGCCAGACACTCCATACTTCTCATTCTTGTGGCAAACTTTTAAAGCCCAGTTACATGGCTTTCCCAGTGCTCAATCACTATTATGTTGACTTTCCAATACTCATTATAAGAAAAACAGTCCAGAGTCAGGTGTGTTCACTTGGATGCAATGTATAACCTCAGCAGCAACACAGTGCACTGCTCAAGAATTTGTGTTCTAAGGTTTTCTAGTGCTTACCTCTATAAAAACAATCAAGAAGAAGAGAAATTAGCTGAACTCTGTGTCTTACTCTAGCAATGATAATATTCAACCATGGATAAATGAACCAATTAATTTTGTAAATGCTCAATTCATACTATTAAGAATGGATTTCCAATTTTTATTTACTTTTATGTTCATTATTTATAAAAATTGTAATTTACTCATATTGTTCTGCCCAATTATATATTCATTAAGATGGTAATATAGCTCAATCCAGGACACATATTCAATCTTTAGAGATACATGATCACAAGAAATTTTTAAAAGATTGAAAAAAAGGAATTTGTGTTCTGATTCCATGTTGGGGAGAGAAAGTACAAGCATGGAATATCTTAACTATTCCAAAAAAGAGGACAGTGCTCATGTGACATGAGAACACATACAAGGATCTTGAAGGGGTGCTCCCTAAGGCCAAATTTGAGGCAATTTGAATATAAAAATCAATAGTGACATAAACAGATTATAATTCACTTATAAAAAGAAAACAACCCATGAATCCACACTGATAAGAAGGTGAGAAGGTGCACTGGTTTTCTTGGTCAGAAATTCAATATAAGTGTCATCAAGCCATCGGCAGGGCTGTGTTCCTTTCTAGAGGCTCTGGGTTGGGTCCATTTCCTTTCCTTTTCCACCTTCTAGAGGCCGCCCCCATTCTCCAGCTGGCAGTCCCTTTCCTCTATCTTCAAAGCCAGCAATGGCAGGTCTAGTCCTTCTCAAGTTGCATCAGTCTGACTCTTGTTCTGTTTCCTTCTTCTACTTTAAAGGACTCTTGTAATTACACTAGGCCCAGCTGAAGAATCTCCTTATCTTAAGGGTTAGCTGATTAGCAACCTTAATTCCATCTACGACCTCAATTCCCCCTTGCTAAGTCAGGAACATTTTCACAGGTTCTGGGGATTAAGAGGTGGACATCTTTGGGGGACCATTATTCTGCCAAACACAGAAGAGAAAGCTCTTCTTTACTGAAAAGCCAGCTAATAAATGTAGAAGGAAAAATAGAAATAGAAAATCACCATTCTACAAAAACTGTAAGAGTAAGTGATTCAGACAAGAATCAATGGACACTATCAGGGCAAAGACTACTGGGGAACAGAACATTCACAATTCTGAAAATAACACTCCAGAGAATGCTTGTAACAAAGGAGATAGGTATCTTTACAATGAAGCAATCTGGTAAACACTATTTTAACCAAATGATCAAACTTGCCATCACCAGTAATGCAATATAATGGACATGATATGCTTCCTAATAGGATACACAGAGAAGGCCATGACTTCACTAAGTGATATTCCTGCAAAAAGAACAAGGATGCCCTTGTTCTTAGGATAAACGTGTTGAAAAAAGTATTTAGGTGGGAAGTATTTGAACTAATTTTCAAATGGTTCAGAAAGAAAAAGAGAGGGAGAAACAAACATGGAAAAATGTTAATAATTGGTGAAACTAGGGAAATAGTACACATGCATTCATTGTACTATTCTTACAACTTGTTGGGTGGTTTTTAATTTTTTTAAATAAAATGCTCAGAAAAATGAAAGAAAACCAGGTCTTTTTATTACGACAACTGTGATCAATGACATCTCCATTTTTGCACAAAAGCCAAAGCCTCATTGACTGCTGGGACCAGGACTGCGCTGATTCTGTGTCTGTTCTGCAGTGCTAGCCCCACAGTGCCAGGCCACAGGGAAGGCGATAGGTAAAGTGTGTGGAAAACTAGAGAATCATTATATGGGGACCAGGGGAGGACAGGGGAGGTAAGACAAAGGGCATGTCTTTGGAGCTGAACTGCCAGGGTCCAAATCCTGGCTCTACTCCTTCCTGCCTGCTGTCTTGAATTATTTATTTAATTTCACTATGTTCAGTTTCCTCACCTATAAAATGGGGTTAGTAACAAAGGTAGTTGAAAGCACTCAGTTAATATATGTAAAGCTTTTAGAATACAAGAAAGCTCAGACACATAGAAAAATTTTTCATATAGTTAAAAAGTAAACACATAGTAAAACAGCTATTAATATGTAGTATCTTACATAGTAAATCATACGCTTTATACCAAATTTAAAAATAAAAATGCTATTAATACTCTTTCTCCTACTTGTCCTAATACAGAAGAAAAAGTTATCACCGTGCTCAGTGGCAGACCTGATTCTCACGGTATGTAAGCAGTAAGCAGTGACCATCTACTACTAATCCATACCAACTAACTCTAACCCAACTCAAGCACACTGAATATGTTCCAAAACGGGAGTTCAAGAGAGACAGGGTGGAGTGATATAAAGCAACAGTGACTGCTGAAGATTTTAACTCACATTCATGTTCTGTGTTCAACAGCCCAATGTCCAATAATGCTTTACCAGTACACATTAGATGAGAAGTTATAAACTGGTAACCTAGGAGCCAAATCCAACCTATATAGCCTGTCCATTCCTCATGGCGTTTTCAGTATAAAATTGAATTAGTTGCTAACCTTTTAAAATTGGAAGAATTCACATAAAAATCTAGATTTGGGGGATTCTTTTGAAAGTAAGCTTGGGCTCCCCTTCCCTAGCAAGAGACAAGTGGAGAATTGCAACTATAAACTGAACTTGTACAACTGCCCAAGACCGACAGCCTTGGTTGGCCATGTTTTCATCCATATAAAATAAGAGGCAGGGCATGGTCCCGCTAGGTAAACTGCCAAACTTCCAACATCTGAGCCTCTGAACACGCATCGTGTCAATTCCACCATAAGACTGTAGAATTTCCTCCTCTCCAACCACTCACGTGCATCCCAGGAGACAACCTGAAAAGCTAGGACCCCTGGCAAGTTCCAGGACTGACTGCAGTGGAGCAAAGACAAACAAGGGACCAATCATCTGTCAACACAGAAGCATCTAGGGAGTATGAAATGCCCAAAGAGTTTGGTCAAAAGTAGCATGGGAAACTAGAATTAAGATAAAACTCGTGTTTTTGACTTTTAGAATACAAGAATAACCCCTTCAATGGTAAGACAGTGTGGCTTTGCCTTACTGTCAGAAAATTAGGTCTTTACCAGCACTTTTGGATATGGTACTCACTAAGCCACATGTAACTACTGGGCACTTGAAATGTGACTAGTGGGGCAGAGGAACTGAATTTTTCATTTTATTTAACTTAAATAAATCTAAAATTTAAAACTGATACTTATTCAGTTATTGGAAAACTTGTTTGGAACAACTTGAGCATAGGAATTTACTTCTTCAACTATAACATTTATGAAATCTAAATACTTCTAAATAGAGACCAAATACTTTCAATGAAAATTCTGTATCATATAAAGATGTACTAAAAGTATAAAATATACACTGGATGCAAAATATTTTTGCAATTTTTTTATACTGAGTAAATGTGGATATGATATTTGGGATTAAATAAATTATATTATTAAAATTAGTGTTACCTATTTCTATACTTTTTTAAATAAAGCTATTGAAAAATTACATGTATAGTTCATATATTTCTGTTGGACAGTGCTAGTCTATACAAATGCAAATTTATGAAACAGATATACTCATAGGCAAATTGTAAAATGATACTTCATTCTAGGAAAAGATTACTTTAAACTGCAAATATCTCTGTTGTCTTTAATAAGCAATCCCATTTTCATGTTCAAGGTACATATAATTTTGGAAAAAAATGGATATAGTAAGAAAAAGCATATTCCATGAATATTTCACAAATAAAGCATATATAATCTCATGTATCAAAAATACTAACAGTGAATTCAATGAAACATTGAACAGATAACAGAAAAAACAAGGTTAGAATCTAACATTCTAAGATCAACAGAAGATAACTAATGCCCCAGATATACTTCTCAAGGGGATTTAACGCAGGATTATGATCTGAGCAGATCTATGTCAGCTATTTAAGAGAGAGAGAGGGAAAAAAAGACCAAAATGTTTAACAATTCTGAAATCTGAGGCAGCAACTAACAAAACTCATTCAAACTGTTCTTTTCAAAAAGGAAGGTGAAGAAAATTACTAAACCTCAAGGAATTGGGAATATACAGAATATTCAAAAACAGAGTTTGAGAAAAAAGGTTAGTTGCTTTTTCTTTAATCACAGGAATGTGCAAAGGAAAAAAATTCAAAGACTTATAGGTTCTAGAAAATAGTGACTGCTTGAATAATGGCTTTACATTGATCGATGCTAATTTCCAAGAAATGTCAAGTGTTCTTAAAAAGAAGATCTGCCTACTGCCATAGAATACTTGGATTCATTTATGTGACAAGCAAACCAAAAGAAGTATGTTTGGGGGGGATTATTTCCTTTGTTGTTTTCACCCACCTTTGATGTTTTGACTCTAATCATACTTAGAGGGAGTTTCTCAGCAAATGTTAGCAAATACGCTGTTACTCAGGTTTCAGAGAACATGAATGAACCATGTCCCTTTAAGTGGTAACCTAGCAACTTGCTGAGAGGATTAGAATACCATGACCCTTGGGGAGGGAGGAGAATTCAAATCCCAGAAGCAGGTGCTTACTGTCCTGTGAACTCCTGGGTTATTATGGGGCAAGGACAGACCTTAAAGTCATTTTAAAGTACAGCAGATCCTGTTCAATAAGTAGAGTAAGCATAAGTTTTGAGTGTCTACTATGTGTCAAACATTAAGTGATCTCATTTAATTCTCACAATGCCTGTAAGGTAGCTATTATCTCCATTTTACTAAAAATGAAATGAACTAAGAGAGTTTAAAAGATTACACAAGATTGACAGCTAGTAAATGTCAAAGCTGAAATTTGAACTAATGGCTGAGAACCCACATATAGACTCTTTCCACTGTATCACACAACAGTTTGGATCCATAGAGTGTAAAATTTGAAGACAGCTACAGGCTAACACCAAGACTCAGAGTACTCCTTAAAATCAAAGACGAATGTAGATAAATTAAATTGAGAATAGAAAAACAATAAAGAAAATAAACAAAATAAAAAGTTGGCTTTATAAAATGATCATCTAAATTGACAAACCTTTAGCTAGACTGACTAAGACAAAAGAGAAAAGATTCAAATTACTAAAATCAGAAATGAAGGTGTGGATATTACTACTTTATTACAGAAATAAAAAGAATTATAAAAGAATACTATGAATAATTACATGCCAACAAAATTACATAAACTAAATAAAATGGACAAAAACCTAGAAACACATAAAGTAACAAAACTGACTCAATGAGAAATAAAAAATAGAATGGACAAGTAGAGGTTGAACCAACAGTCAAAAACCTTCCAACAAAGAAAAGATCAGGACTAGATACTTCACTAGTGAATTCTATCAAACATTCAAAGAACTATGCCAATCCTTCTCAAACTTTTCCAAAAAGGAGGAAAGCACTCATTCTATGAGACCAGCATTACCCTAATATCAAAGCCAGGCTAAGGCATCAAAAGAAAACTATAAAACAATATCCCTTATGAATATAGGAACAAATATTCTCAACAAAATACTAGCAAACCAAATCCAGCAACATATTAAAAGGATTATATACCATGACCAAGTGAGATTTACCTCAGGAATGCAAGGGTAGTTCAACATACAAAAGTCAACCAGTCAATCAATGTAAATATACCACATAAATAATAAGAAAGAACAAAAAGACATACAATCATCTCAACTGATGTAGATAAAGCACTTGACAAAATCCAACACTGTTGCATGATAAAAAACACTCCACAACAACAATAACAACAACAACAACAACAAAAACAGAAGGGAACTTCCTCAATATGATAAAGGGCATTTATGAAAAACCAACAGCTAACATCATACTGAATGGTGAAAGACTGAAAGATTTCCCCCTAAGAACAGGGACAAGACAAAGAGCCCCACTTTCACCACTTCTATTCAACTTTGTACTGGAAGTTCGAGCCAGAGCAATTAGGCAGAAAAAAGAAATAAAGGCATCCAGGTTGGAAAGAAGTAAAATCTCAATTTGCTGATGACATGATCTTACACAGAGATAATCCTAAAGAATACACACACCAACACAAACTGTTAGAGCTAATAAATGAGTTCAGCAAGGTTCAGGATACAAGATTGATATACAAAAATCTATACATTGACAATGAACAACCCAAAAATGAAACTGAGAAAACAATTTCATTTATAATAGCATCAAAAAGAATAAAATATTTAGGAATAAAGTTAAACAAGGAGCTACAAGACTTGCACACTAAAAACTATAAAACATTGCTAAAGAAACTAAAGAAGACCTAAATAAATGGAAAGACATCCCATGTTCATGGACTGGAAGACTTAACACTAAGATGGCAATCCAAAAGCAATTTACAGATTCACTACACTCCCTACCAAAATCTCAACAGTCTTTTTTGCAGAAATGAAAAAGCTGACCCTAAAATTCAAATGGAATTGCAAAGGACACTGAATAGCAAGAAAATCTTGAAAAAGAAAAACAAAGTTAGAGGAATCACATTTCCAAATTTCAAATCTCAGCACAAAGGTACAGTAATCAATATAATATAGCACTGGTATAAGAATAAGTGTACACATTGCTGGAATATTAAGAGTACAGAAATAAACCTATACATCTATGGTTGACTGATTTTCAACAATAGTGCCAAGATTATTCAATAGGGAAAAAATAGTCTCTCCAACTAACGCTGGAGCAACTGGATATCCACATGTGAAAGAATGAAGGTGGACCCTTTCCTCACACTGTATAAAAAAAACGATCAAAGATCATTTGGCTCAAAATATAAGAACTTAAACTATAAATCTCTTAGAAGAAAGCATAGGGGTCATGGCTTTGGATTAGGAAATGGTTTCTTAGATACGACACAAAAAGCATAAGCAACGAAAGAAAAAATAAATTGAACATTATCAAAATGAAAAACTTTTCCTCATGAAAGAACACTATCAAGGGAGTGAAAAGACAAACCACAGAAAAGGAAAAAATATTTGTAAATCATTTTTCTGCTAAGAGTCTAGTATCCAGAATGTGTAAAGAACTCTCACAAATCAACAAAAAGACAAGCAACTCAATCAAAAAAATAGGCAAACATCTTGATAGACATTTCTCCAAAGAAGATACACAAATGGCCAAGAAGCACATGAAAGCTCAATGTCATTAATCATTAGGGAAATGCAAATCATAACCACAATAAGATACCACTTCTCATCCATTGGTATATTCTAAAAAACAGAAAATAACGAATGTTAGTGTGGATGTGGAGAAACTGAAATTCACATATATTGCTGGTGGGAATGTAAAATTGTGCAGTCACTATGGAAAATCCTTTGGTAGTTCCTTAATAAGTTAAACAAAGAATTACTATATGACCTAGCAATTCCATTCCTAGGCATATACCCAATAGAATTGAAAACAGGTGTTCAAACAAAAACTTATACATGAATGTTGACAGCAGCACTATTTATAACAGACAAAAGGTAGAAACAACCATCCATTAACTGATGAATGGATAAACAAAATGTAGTATATCCATACAATGGGAAATAGCCATAAAAAAAAGGCATGAAGTACTGATACATGCTACAACATGAGTGAACCTTGAAAACATTATGCTAATTGAAAGAAGCCAGACAAAAAAGGCTACATGTTGTATGAATCCATTTATATGAAATATCTAGATTAGACAAAGCCACAGAGATAGACAGTAGAATAGTGATTGCCAGGAGCTGGGATAAAGGAGAATGGGAGTGACTGCTTAATGGGTACAGGGTTCACTTTGAGGATGATGAAGATGTTCTGGAACTAGATAGTGGTGATGGGTGCACAATACTATGAATGTACTAAATGCCACTGAGCTGTATACTCTAAAATGGTGAAAACAGTCAATTTGGTTATGTGCATTTTACCACAATTACGAAAAACAGTATCACTAAACTTGTGACAATCATTTCATGATGTATGTAAGTTAAATCATTACGTCGTACACCTTAAACTTGTACAGTGCTGTATGTCAATTATATCTCAATAAAATTGGGGAAAAAAACCAAAACAATAAACACATGTACACATAATTCTAAAAAAAAAAAGAGGGAAAACAATTGAATATGCAGAACACAATTTAAGAAATCACAGATAATCCTTTCATGTATAAAAATATTCCACAGAATTTTCTCATGATCGAGTCCGTTTCTCTATCTAAATGTAGTATCAATTTCTGCAAGAAGGTGTTATTAAGGCCATGCCCAGCCCTGCCCTCTGTGGGGGAGGTCAGACCTACCTCCAATTATTCGAATATTGTTGTCCTTTGTCAGAATAGCCTCAGCATGGAATACCAAAACTGGAATTCTCCTGCAGCCTCCAGTCCACATGATACATGGATGATCCCTACAACCGTAACAAAAGGCTTTATTAATTTACAGCTCAAAATTTGAATTAACAACTGAAGCAGATCACTGTGGTCTGTTGCTTAGTAACTTTTCCTTCCTTCTGGAACAAGTATCCCAAATGTCCTATGGGAAACCATTCATCTCCCATTCTTTGTCATGGGGTCTGTTTAAGATTAACTCCATCCCTGTTCTAGGGATGGGCCCTGATTGGCTGAAGCAGGGACGGATTCTAAACTATAAAATCTTAGACACTTTGGAAACTATCCAAAGTTCCTTGTCAACCTAGCTCTTGCTGCAAGCTGGCACCACTGTGCCTTAGCACTTAGAATGGATTATTGCTAAAAGTTAAAAATGCTTGGCAATAATCAGGAACATAATAAACAGATACAGAGCTGAGAAGAGCCAAGGCCTTCACCATACGATCTATAGAAAGCCAAATCCCTGACAGAATCATCTCATTTACAACTTATAAAAAGAGAAAAGAGGCAGCAGACAAATCATTAATTCAGTAAGGTCAACTAAAAAACACGTAAGGCAGATGCTACATTGTTATTAAAAGCATCCTCCCACTAGGTGTCGCTAAAGGGAAAAGATTCAAAATGATTAGGAAACTGAAAATTGGGATGCTACATTTTCATTCATACCAGAAACCGGTATATGTTAAGAAATTATGCTTTACAGGCATGAAAGAACAAAGAATTTGGATAATTAATTACCAAAGTAGACCAGTTTTATGGTTCACTTTATTGAGAGCTTAAGAACGTTTTGGCTTTTAAGAAGCAATTTCATGAGGAATATATATTATTCACTCCTGGGATCCAGCCTACATAACTCAAAGCCTCTATCCCTTGTTCATATCAATGTCCCTGCTAGAAATGCCTTCCCCACTTCCCTCAGTTCATTTACTCCTACTCTTTAAAGCCCAGCGCATCTCACCACCTCCATGGAGCTTTCCCCAGCTCCTCCAGCCCACAGTGATGCCTTCCTTCTCTGAACTCCTGTAGCTCTCATTAGTTGATGATCTTTTTAACTGATACAATGCCCCTTTTATGACTGGAATTAAAGTTAACATTTTTAAGTGACTAAAGAAACCATACATCAAATCTTCGTTATGAAAATTTCCACATCTAAGTATAAATTTGTATTTGGAATCTCCAAGCAAAACATAGAAAAAGAGCCCCTTCACATTTACTATTTGTAATAATGCCATGCAAAACAAGGATGCCAAGACAATGTCTGGCTCTAATACCTATGACTGGAGAGCATTAATACTTTAATACAGCCTAGGGATCTGAGCAGATCTAGCAGATGTCCATGGATACACATCTTTGGGTCAAGTCAACATCCTTAGATGGTTTAAGACCTTCTAACTTCCAAACCTTTAAAAATGTAAGCATGTTGCTCCAAGTATGAACAAGATTGATTTAAGATTCCTAATGTATAGAACAAGTATCTGATAGACATGAGTTGATGGAACATTAACAATCAAAACTCAACACTAGGAGTTTAAAAGGAAGAGGAGCAAAAAGTCCATGAATTTGGATTGGGGTGGGGGGATGGAATTACACCTATATTTTCACTAACTTCTACCAGAAATTTAGCATTTCTCAATTACGAATACAGGCAACAAAGCACAGTAGTATTAGCACTACCTGTGTCTTTGATTCCATCTGAAATTACAGACTTTTTACACCATACAGTAATTGGTGCAAATACCTCAAAACATCACTGACATTTATCACTACTTCCAAGTTATAGTAGTTGTTAAAATTGCCACTAGATCACCCGTGATCAGTCTCCCTCATCTGGTGTGATGAGGAAGGACAAAGATTTGGCACCTCTTTGTGAAGCAATCATTCAGCACCAAATGGTGACATCACACAGTGGTGGTCCAGACATCTATGATGTTTCCCAGTATTTCGCACTTACAAGGGTTAATCAAAGACCACCCAAGTGTGATGCACTTATGCAAACTAAACAAAAACAGTCTTCACGTTGCTGTCTTAGGAAAATAAAATTTAACTTCCTCATCTTTTAGATGATCTTGTTGTTTAATGTATTAATAAAAAAAGCATGTATTACTGTATCATAAGTTTGCTTTTTTAATTTTAATAACTGCATTTCAATGTAATTGGTATTCTTTATAGCGATATGTATTTTATTTTAAGCACTTAAAATATTATTCTGATAAAGGATTCACAGCATAAGAAAGGTTAAGAATCCTCAACCTAAGCTGTCCTAAAGCACAAAGTCTCCATTTATTCGTTCATTCAGTTAGTCATTCGGTCAGTATTTATTGAATACCTCCTAAAATATTAGGTTGAACCATCTAAAATTGTCAATATTTGACTGTTTTTGATCTACCAAAATAGCGATTTTATATAGTTCAACCTAATACTTGTTGAGCCCAACCTGTAAGCCCATTAATATAAAAGACAGTCATAAAGCTAAAAGATCTTGAATCAGAAAGACTAACGCTTATAGCAGAGTTTAAATTTTTGTGAAATGGGTAGGAAGTAGCACACAGAAAACAAAAAGTCACAAGAAGGCAAAGTGACCAGAGGGAATTATCCACTTAATTATCCTGAATGAGAATGACCCAAATATAACACCAAATCCTTATTATTTTCTATGACCTCTATTATTTTCTATGATCTAACAGTGATGAGAAGCCTTTCCCCAAAGCTTTACTAATGCTTTGACAATTTTTTCAAATTACATTAAATAATGTAATCTTCTAACTTTATATTAAGAAATACACTTTAAATTCAATATTAAATCCAGTAAGAATAATGCCTTAACATTTGTATGGCACTTTATCATTTATCATATTTATATTATTACCTTAAAAGTAAGTTTATACACAGTATTCTATGTGATCCTAACTATACCCCTAAAAAATAGCCTGGGAGATATTATTCCCGCTTTTCAGGCTGCATGCCACACACATATCCTAGGGGAACTCACAGAGAATCTTAAAAACTCATCTTAACATTAAGCCAGATTCTCTTTGTTCTCTGTGTCAAGTAATAATGTTAAAGGAGGAAAAATAGTTAAGGGCTTCAAAATCCAGGAAAACTAGGTCTGAATCTCAAATCTGTCACTTACTCTCTATGCGTCCCTGAGGAAGTCCTTTGATATTTGTGAGGCTGAGCTTAATAAAGTGGGAATAATAACATCTTCAACTAAATGAGATACATCAGTTAAAACTCTTGCCATCATCTATAGCAGCTACACTTACAACTACCATTTATTTTTATTATTATGAGACCCCAGCAATCAAGAAACTTGACTCTTACCTAAGAGAACTCAGGAAAGCCATGTGGCCCAATAGACACAGCACAAGCTATAGAATTCTAATGTCCTGTCGAACACTTACTCTGGTAAGTTACTTGACCTCTCTATATTATCATCTCTCTGTCATTGTAAAGGCTTTTGAGAAAATAACCAATGTCACAGAGTTTGGAGACCTACTTTTCTTCAGTAGCTAAAAATTTCAAAACCTATGTCAGGAGCTCTGATCAAGAGTTGACTAAGAGCTACTGCATGCAACATCTAGAGCCGATGCTCATGTGCCTAGAAACAGAGCCTTATCTCATTTCAGATGGCTGACAGTGATCCAATAATAAAGATCTTGAATTAGACCACGTGTAGAAACTAAAATCAGAGTCAGACAACACCAAAGGAAGGATAATGGGTATAAGAGGGTATGAGTGAAAAAGAACTATTTTCCATCCTAAAGGCAAAAGGTCAAAAGCAGGCTTGCTATTACTTACTCTTGGCTTACCACCTCCTCATCCTCTGAGGATGATGCTGTTTCCTCCAGGTCCCGGGCCATCACAACTGGCATTTCCTTTAGAGTTTGTCATGCAGTCAGCAGACGGGGGCCTCAGAGACCTTTCCTTACAGATTCACTGGATCAAACAATTAGGGTGGCAGATTCCTGAAAGAAAGCCAAATGATCTGAAATACAATGCAGTTGTCTTTTTGTTGATTACTGCTGATCCTCCAAATAATGAAAACTTACCTAAATAGTGTCCAATCTCTAGAAAGCTTACCTACTTTCACAGTGCTCACAGAAGCCACAGAAACCAAGATTTTTTCCCAAACATATGGTCTACCTTCCGTGTATTTAAAGAGTTATTAAGTTTGAGTTTTTCGTTTTTCTCTTATATACTAAACCTAACATTCACCAAAAGGACAGACTTACTTAACTTTTAGGTAAGTCTGAGGTAGGTGGCCAACTGCCTAAAACATAGATTCCTTGTTAGAAAAAAACTGACGTGGGTTAAAAAGAAAAACTCAAGTTTTAAGGTCCTTGCGAATATTTCTTTAAGACTCTATGACCTGCACAGGTAAAATATCCTCATGTTGCACTAAAACAAATTCAACCGCTGAACCAAAAAATGAATATATTCTCCTGAATCAAGGTCATAAATAGCTGGAAAAAAAACCCCAAAAAACCTGTCCTTTCAAACACTATCAAAAATTACTCTCTTATTAAAAACCACCAACTTGTTCCAAATACCAAACACACATTACAATAAGCATATTTCTAACTTACATTCTTAATAGCAAAAAGGTACATGTGCATTGTCTGTCTGAGAATGGAAAAGAAATTACAGAAAAATAAAATGAAACCGTTTGAATGAGCATAACCCCATTACTCAAAGATAACCATTAATGTCAATCTTTCCAAACTTCATTTTTCTATGCATTAATATTTGTGATAAGAACGTAAACAATACCAAAAAAATGCCAATCCCGACAATGATCCCTACACATCTTCAGCGAAATGGGCAATATCAAATAACGCAAAGGTTGTTCTTCCGAATATTCCCAGAGGGATTTCTCAGTAGTTCCTAAAATGTTGTTAAGTCCTTTAAATTAAAACAAAACAAATCTCCAAACTAGTAAGGGATGCCAACCTGTCCTAGGCTACCAGCACAGCAGAGAGAGACAGGGCGACTGGAAGAAGATTAAGGACACTCGCCAAAGGAGCGTCCTCGCCCTAAAGGGATCAGCCTTTCAGCCCCACCTTCGGCTCACCCCAATCCCAGAGAGGTCCTCAGACGTTCCCCACGGGAAGGACGCGGGTGACTCCGCCGCAGCGATTCAGCCCACGGCGCCCGGAAGCCAACAGCTGCTCCGGGACTCTGAGAGGGAAGTGCAGCGGAGAGCGCCCGCCCAAACCCGGGAGCGCACCTCCCTCGGGTAGGGGAGCGCGCCGGCGCCGGCGTTTACCTGTTTCATCTTCCCATGGCTCGGGGTGGGCAGGCGGGGACAGCGCTCTGCGCCTACCTCCCTCCTCCTTCCCCAGCCGGGCTCACAGCAGCCGCAGACCGCTGCTTCCCCCGTTACTACAACAACCAACAAGCAACCGCCCGCTCGGAGCCACTGCGCAGGCGCCCGCCACCCGGCGCTGACAACGCTTGGCTTCGGACGCGGACAAATGTCGTCACCGTCGCGCAGCGCAGGCGCAGAGCCCAGCTGTCAACAGAAGTCGACTTCTTTTCTCCGCTGTTTTTTCCTCCGCCCCTAAAGGACTGACTTCGAACCCGGAGTTCTTCCGCCACGCTCAACAGGAGGGTTCACTGCAGGAGCCGCGTACCGGGGGAGAGGCTTGGGCAGCGGCAACCGCTGATTGGCAGTAAAGGGGTTCACGCCCCATCTCCTGCTCGAACAGAACCGGAACAGCCAATCAGAGCGAGGCCTGATGGAAACGACCCAATCCTGGAGCCGGGCTGAGGGTGGGGGCGGGGTCAAGTGTCTCAGGTAGGTTGAGGGCTAGAGCTGCCCTGGGGAAGCTTTGCTCCTGCTGCTGCTGCTGTTCTGGGGGTACAGTTGCCAGGTAAGGTATATGTGAGGGAGAAGAGGTAGGTGTCTGTGTGGCATCTGATTGAGGATCTGGAGAATCTGGAAAAACGGAGGTGGTACAGAAGGAAGATACCTGGGAGGCAACCTCTTGCGGGGAAAAGAGGTTCCAGAGACCGAGAGAAGAGGGAGCTGGGGAGATGAAGAAGGCTTGGTAGATAGGTTCGGAACGAGTGAATGGGGATGCACGAATTGGAATTCTTATAATAATCCTTGAGACAGGAATTTTTAATCTCTATTTTGCAAGTGAGGAAACCTAGGATGTAAAGTGTAAATTATTTGCCCAGGGTCACACAGCTACTAAATGGTAGGGCCGAGAAAGGAAACTCTCACTCCTGACTCTAGTAAACACTGCACGTTTGCTGGCCTGGGCCAGGACAAAATTTTAGAATAGGTGTTCATACTCTAGGAGGCCCTCAGAAGCTTTAGGGAAATCTTGCTGAGGGATTGGTAGAGCAGTTCAGAAGTGTGCTCAGGCTCTGCCTTCATCATCTATCTGCTGGGGTTTCTAAGAACTTCTGTGAAATGGGCATGTGTTCTGTCAAAGAGGGGGGCTATGCATGCAGCTCTTCTCACCCTGAGAGGAGAAAGCCTGAGTCGCCCACTGAGGGAAGGTGAGAAATCAAGGAGGATGGTGGGGGAGGGGAGTAAGCAGATCTTGGTCTATGTTGTAACTGCTTGTGATTCCAGTAAAGGCCCATTGTCTCTGGACTTTGGTAAAGTCCACCACTTCTGTGACCTATTTTCACTGAGGTATTCATCCATTGACCATTCCTTCTCTTGAGCTCTTTGTTTTGGGGGGCTTCACACTGTCTTGAGCCATTACCGACTTTAGTACCTGCTTCAGCTGGGCAGTGTAGGACCATACTCAAACTTCTACTGCCAAAGTGACACAGGAAGCCTAAAATTTTATCACCACTTAAGAGCCAAGAAATTAACCTGAGAACAGATAAACCACGGGCCAAGAAAACACAACGAAGACAGGAAGAAGTAATTTTGTTATTCGTTTTTTTTATCTACGTGTGTTTTTATTTAAACCAAGCTGATTGAAATAAATGTGCAGCAAGAGTTAATCTACGGTTTTTGTTGTTTTTTTAAAAAACAAAAAGTTCATAACCTGTTTGTATTTTCTAAACAACTTGGAGATAGAAGTGGCTATGGTATGCTTGTCTCCCTCAGAAAAGGAAACTTAGTCAAAATGTTCTCAGTGAGGCAGTATTGCAATGAAGAGACCAACAGACCGTGCTTTGTATCTCAGCTCCGTCATCTATTAGCTGTGTAACCTCAAGGAAGTCACTTAATCTCCGTGCCAACCTCACCTGTAAAATGGAAATATTAATGTCTACCTACCTTGTTTAAGGATTATATGAGATAATACATGATAGGGCTTGGCACAGTGCATGGCAACATGAGTGCTCAATAACTATTAACTATTGTAATTTCTCTTGCTATCCAACAGCAACATCGCTTTTTCCTTCTCCATATGATTTTCTCACTAATCCTCAAGTCACCACAATCTACTTATTTTTAACTTTTAGACTGTTCTCCTAGTTTATGGAGCATGGTGTACCTGAGAACCAGAATAGAGAAAATTTAAGAATGTAAATATTGCCCTCACAACATAGATTCCACTCAATGCATAAGACTTCTCTGTGTTTGGAAGGATTTGTCACCAGTAGCCAGGCAGGCCTTGTTAGTAGATTTATAATCACCTTTGAGCCACTTGCATTACAAAGGAATGCCATGACAAACCAGGTGAGAAGTAAAGCTCTCGGGGGACTGATTCCAGCCAGAGAAAAGAGTTTGGATTTAGGCTAATATTTTGGAGAAATTCCTTAGACAAAAATAAACACTGTGCCACTTATTGCAAAGTATACTGTTGATTCACCATTGTCAGTAGGACTAAATAGTGAGACCAGTGTCTTTATGTCTTACACTGAAGTCTGTTTTATTAGTTTAGAGTGCTATTTGTACCCCTCTCTTCTGTTCCCTTTCTTCTCTCCGTTTTTCCTCTGGGTTTGTCATCCCCATCCGCTGCATTATTTAGCCTTTTTCACTCTAGGTGAAGGTCAGCACACTTGGGTTGAAGGTTGATATTCAAAGGCAGTGTGCCACCCCTATGAAGGAAATGTAGTGTGTAAAGATGACTGAGGTTGGGGGGAGTGTATGCTCAGTGGTAGAGTACATGCCTAGCATGCATGAGGGCCTGGGTTCAATCCCCAGTACCTCTATGAAAAAAATAAGTAAACATCATTACTTCCCCCTACAAAAAATTAAAAATAAAAAAAATTAATTTAATTACTGTTGAGGGGAAGCGTATAGCTCAGTGCTAGAGCGCATGCTTAGCACACATGAGGTCTTGGGTTCAATCCCAGTACCTACACTGGAAAAAAAATAATATAAATAAATAGACTCAATTACCTCCTCCCCCTCAAAAAAAAGCAAAAAAAAAAGCTTTTTTAAAAAATAATTACTGTTGGGAAAAAAGACATTGTTAAAAATTTTTTTTTAAAAAAAGATAACTGGGGGTGGATGAGCCTAGGGTACTTGGAGAGGAGTTTATGAAATGATTGGCCCAATAAGCTTAGTACAGCCCTCGTGAGTTAACTACACAGGTTACCTACAGAGGCGAGCGAGCTTATGTTTGAAGTAAACTAACCATCATGTCCTTTGCTTTTGTTTCTAAGGCAAAAAGCCCTGAGGGTTGAGGGGAGCCATGAGCCGGTTCCTGAACGTGTTACGAAGCTGGCTGGTTATGGTGTCCATCATCGCTATGGGGAACACGCTGCAGAGCTTCCGGGACCATACCTTTCTCTATGAAAAGCTCTACACCGGCAAGCCAGACCTCGGTAAGAAAGCAGACCTACAGACCTTGTGGGAGTGGCCTACACTGTGGTTCCCAGACCAGAGTGTATATCAGAATAACCTAGAAAACCTAAGAACGAACAAGCAAAGCACAGGTGGCCATTTCCCTCTCCAGACCTACTTACTGAAACTTTCATGCCCTCAGTGGGGCCTAGGAATCTATTATTTAAAAACTTCCCAGGTGATTCTTTTTTTAATTGAAGTATAGTTGACTTACAACGTTGTGTTAGTTACCAAAGGGGAAGGCAGGGAGGGGTAAATTGACAGTTTGGGATTGCCAGGTGGTCCTGATGCTGCCTACTCTAGCCTTTGGCAGCCACTAGAGTAGAAGACGTGGTAGGTAGCACTTGGTCCTTTTTCTCCTCAAGCTTCTCTGAATACCTTTTCATTCATTTTACAGTGTCCCAGGCAGTAGTCTGTACAAAAAGCATTACCAGGGCAAGTGAGGAAACAAGAGTTACTTTGTGACTCTGTGATGCCCAACTCGAAAACCACAAAGAGGCTTTTCATATTAGCTCTGCCCCCTTCAGAAATCAAGTCACGGCACACACAGTTCATATCCCAGCTGCAGATGGAGAGTTACTAATCCAAGGTCTTCTCAAACTGGGACATAGACCCTGAGAAGATATCCAAAATCCCTCAAAGTTGCTCTCCCAAAAGGAACTTCTCAAGGCCCATGTTGGCCTCTCCGAGCATCCTGAGCCTCTCTGCTGAGAGTGTTTCCATGTTTCAGCTTGCACTTCCTTGCGCTGATGTGCGGGGTGGCTTGAGCTGCAGCACCGTTTCATAGCAGCTGACAACTGTGTCACATTTATACCTAACCCAGATTCAGGCTCTGACCTAGCTTATTTTTCTGCAACATCTGGATATAAAATGAAACTAAGTAGGCTAAGGTTCACTTTGAACAAAGCTCAAATACAACAGGAGTGAAGAACTTGGAAAAGTGGGCAGGACGGTTCCACTTTTCATCCTCAGTGCCGTCCTTAGATGGCCAAGGAGCCCTGTATAGATTCACAGGGTTTTAGAGGTTGTCTTGGTCTAGCCCTTTGAATTTCATGTTGAGACAGAGAAGCCCAGGGGTCATGTGATTTGCTGAAGGGCGTATAGCTGAGCAGAAGAATTGTGTGTGTCCAGCCCAGAAGTAGAGACTGCCTCCTCCCTCATGACCTGGGGGCTGTCCTGGTACGTAGCTTATCATAGCAGTACTCTGTAGCATCCTGTAGAATTTCACCTGATGCCTAGTCTGGTTAGGGTTGGTGAGATATTCCACTTTCATATCTTACTCACTAGAGAAACTTCCTCAGTCTTGTCATCAGAGAAGCTGTCAAAATGCTTTATAAAGAAATGTAGCCCTCCAGGGCTAACTGCTAGATACTTGTTTGGCATATGGAATTTTTTCTCACTTCATTATCATCTAAAGGTCTTCAGGGTTGTGAATTTGGTATTGCTGTCCGTTTTTCCAAAGGTTGGAAAATCCTCAAAGCCCAAGTCAACATTAATAGACCTTTCAGTTGTCAGTCTTGTCTTAAAATCTCTCATGCTCAATAGACCAGAAACATAGCCATAGAAAACTCACAGACACAGAAGTAAACTTATGGTTACCAGGGGGAAAAGGAAGTGGGAAGGGATAAATTGGGAGTTCAAGATTTTCAGATACTAACTAC